TGTTCCAAGAACATTGCAATAGATGAAGAAGCCATTAATTTGATAACCTACTTATCCTACACATTTGAGGCTTCGCCCAAAGTAAGTCAAATAAAAAACATCTTGTTGAGTATAAGAACAACATTGTTCATTATATTTAAGTATTCATCCCGCATCAATTGACCACCAATAGCTTTTGTAGAAGTAAGTTGAAAGGAGCCACGAAAAGATTTAAAAAATAACTTCCATGCCAATGCTCAAAAGCAACAAATGACATAGACGTGAGATGAATAGCGCGTGTAAATAGTGTATCGGATTTCTGTTGCTTGTCTTTCTTCAAGAAATCAAAATGTTTCCAACTGCCCAAAATAAAAACATACTCCGAATCATTTGGATACACTGATTTGCTTGAGCTGTTGCTTGTAGGAATGGATGAACCAACTTTAACTTGTAACATCTTCTTTTGAGTTGGTTGAAATTCCGCATCCAACTGGCCTATTGAACGTGCCTCCTTCTTACTTTGCACATGCGATCCGTTGCCGCAATCAGTGGTTCGTTGCAAACAAAACACTTGCATTACATTCATATGGCATCATCTTGTTTGTAGCAAGCTCCAAACTTTTACCAAATTGCATCTTTTGGCTTCCCCATTTTCAGTAGAATCTTATAAGTCTTAGTAGAACACAATTGACTTGTGATACAAACTTCTTTTTTACTTCTGCTCACATCAACGTTGGTTTCTCGAGACTTTTTTTTCCAGTGAAATAAAGATGATATTCTCTGGATAGGTTTTCAGTTTCTGTCTGGTGTAAAATAAGTAGACTTCAGATCTCCATCCACACAGTCATGAACTCAGCTGCCCAACTTGGATCCAACTTGTAATAAGCTTACATTGTAATCTCTGCAGGCATCAAAGAAAAATTCAGATAAGAAAGTAGCCTATTTTTGAAAAGAATGCTACAACATCTTTCTTTGTACTATAAACCAGCTATAAGTACAATCGAATGTGATCTGATGATCACATTCGATTTTATCTAGATTACAAATATTGAAAGTGATGTTACCACAAAATTAAAACGAACTTACAATGAAATCATGTATGAATCCGAAAGGTAAGATAAATTCCACAGTGGGCAAACCACAACTTGTGACAAGAGCTCCATGTCAAGATTAAATAAGGTGCCAGAAAGTCAAGGGACAAATATCAAACTACGTGGAGGTAAAATACTGACATCAAGAAATTCTCGAAGTCATTTCTTTTGCTGATTATGAAACTATGAAGTGTCTGGGCTATGGATTCTTAAACTGGAGTACTTTTCAAACCATCGATTTCATTTTTCAATCGCTACATGATTGGAGAATTGACTCACAGCTCAAAACATTTGACTTGATTCCGAGTACATCATTGCATCAAGGAGAATATCAACATTCCTCTTGCAAACCTCTATCTCTCTCGCCATCCACATGAAAGTTGCCACATACATTTTGCGCGTTCACGATGCTGCTTATAGCTCTCAAGATTAAAACCAATATATAAAACTGGGTCAAGAAATGCATCTGCTAATCACTCCACCCACCCCACCCTTAGTCATGCGGGCATTCGTCACAAGCAGATATATAATTTAGTTCTTCGTCCATGCAATGGAGCACAGTACAAACCAACGGAAGCGAGAGCCCACGGTAGTGGGGATGACTTTCGCATTCTGGCACAGAACAAAGAAATCTTTGCACGGTACACCGGAAGATTAAAATAAGTCCTCACGAACTCTGTATATGGCGAACTCTGAAGTGAAGCTCAACGAACCGGAGCCAAGAGATGTGCCCAGGAAGAGATCAATGAGGTCCAGGGCCCAACAAAAGTACCACAGGACAGCGGACGTAGCTTCTACGGCATGAAATGATTTTACACCGGATTCTTCTTACAAGGCATTTGTGAGTGTTCATCAATGCAAACGGAGCTCATGGATGCCACAGGTTCCATCCAGTCAACCGTTGGATAGATCGGACAAATGCAGTTCTCGTCTTGGAAAAGAATTGACTTTTGCAATAATAGGATTCGGATACTCAGCTTCATCATACAAACTCAATGCTGAAAATAGAAGACAAGTTGATGCTATTTGGATAGTCAATGTTACTCGGGTAACATAAGGAAATGTATATATCCACTTGTTAGAAATCCCAAGACTGCAAACAAGTAGCACTTTCACTCGGATGTAACATAAATAAACGTCGAACAAACGTTATGAACAAACGTTGCATCTTGTTCGTAACATCTGTCCCACTCTCTAAATCTCCCCACCCTTCCTAAACAGCTCTTGATGGATCAGGATCAGATGAGATCGGCGAGACTGGGGGATCATTCCCAACTCTCAATATCAATTGACTGATATTAATGAACAAACTCTTTGGAAGAGTCTTGTAAAAGTCTTACAAAGTGAAGCTTAGCTTCCAAACTCAAACGGGTAGAGATTCGACGATTCAGAACTCGATTTTCAAGACTTCTAGCTTTGGAATTGAGCAGATGATGTTTCTTTCAATCCAAGGAGACTTCATCTACTCAAGCCAAGACGATACAGAGACTCTAAAATCAGATCTAGATCTTGATTCTTGTTATTAAATGACTTCTTGAAATTCTAAGGAACCCACCTAGACAAATTCACGTTGAATATACATGACATTGGAGGTACTGATACTATGAAATTTCACGTACTATAGATTTTTTATTATACAGTTATACAAGGTAGATTTGAAAGTGCTGTATAATACCATGTCTATAATACACCAATTATACATAAACACACCCATACATCTTCTAGCAACTGTCAGCGGGTGGTGCTCCTTGTCTTCTGGATTTACAAGAACAATCTCTACGTCATAATTTTTCCTCGCCATCGTGGTCAGTGTCGTCTGAACTGGACTTCTCTATTCGAATGGAAAGTGACAGCCTTCTCCAACACCTGACGATTCTATGGAGGCACTCCAGGACGACAATAATTTGGGGATATTAATTCATTTTCCGATACATCCCTACTACTCTATACGTCCTACACTTGCTACAGGTCGTTCAAGACATCAAGCATTGTAAGCACGCTGTTCATTGCGCTGCCTTTCGTGCCGCGAGATCAATGTTCCAGCCCTTACTCTAGCTTTCTGGACCTGATCAGAGGAGAGCTCCAATTGACTTCAAACAAAGACTACAACACGTGCCTCAATAATTGTAATAAATGTAGATGAATAAATTTATTGTAATAAATGTATTTTTTCTGAAGAGAAGTATAACCTGTTGGGTACCATTTTTTGACGAGCTATAGATACCACATTGTACTTCGGAGTTCCCTTCGGTTTTTCTCCATGCATGCTGTATACACTAGTGGATTTCATTTCATTCATGTGCGATGAAATGTTAACATTTCTTTTTAAAAACACACAATAGTACTGTTTTGAGAATGAAGAGACACGAAGATCATTTTTACTCTCCTTGGTACAGTGGCCCATTCGTACTGGTATCCAAAAAAGAGAAAATTTACACATCGATCCAATTGGTTCCTGTGACAAAAAATGAACATGTTAACGAGGAATTAAGAAATAAGTGCCATTTACCTGTGTTGAGTATATAGTGCTGAGGATTGCATCTATTTGTAAAAGCAAAGAATCGTTTCTGTTAACAGTTTAAACATCGTTCGTAAAGTGCATATCCACTGCAATTCAGATGTTGTGAACAGTTGGAAACGTAGAAAACCTTTTCATCTATGTTCGTGAGGTTTGAATGCTCAAAATCTAATAGGGAAAAGACAATGCTTAGTTCTAAAATTACCTTGAGTTTTTTAAGTTGGTGGCATCGAGTGCTAATATTTAACTCTTAAAATATGGACAATTATGTTGTTATAGAACTTGCGTTGATGTGTTCCTGTCTTCTGGGATAAAGTTCAGTCTCAAGATTCCATCAGGTAAGCACTTTTAATGAGCGTTTGTCGAACTGAGAATCGTAGTATTTTGAATTATTTCACTTATTTGAAATATGCAGAATCATTAGAAATGATCTTATGAGACAAGTTTCAGACTGGTTGCATTTAAAGACAAGGCTCTGCAAGAAGACTTGGGATTCCAAATACTCTTACCGCCTCACTGCACTTGTTGGTTTCAGCTTGTCATTGACTGGATTCAATTTTATGTGTCAGATGATCATAGACTGCATCAGAAATGTTGAACACCTTCAAATAACAATTGACACTTCAAAGATCTGTCTGAAGGATCGTATAGAATCAAGAGATGAGAGAGAATATTGATCATAGGTCTTCTCAACATTCTGTTTGCACTCTGTTCTTCAGGGAATCAATTCCTTGGTTAAATTGCAGTTTGCATGGGTTCAAGTTTTGGCCGTTGGTCATTTTTTTGCTCTTCACGATCGTTTCCGATTCTTCCTTTGTTCATTTAAGGTTCCATGTTTGTGTCAACAGCTTCAGATGAGATAACATTATGAACATATTTCAAACTAATGAATCAATGAAAACACAAGACGCCCACAGTTTTACAGTCGAAAATAGTTGAACTGATCAAAGTAGTCCTTGAAATCTACAATAAAAATTACATGTGAACCTAAACAATAGCAAAGAGGACAGTTCATAAATAACTGGTTTTGAGTTTCAATCTCATCCCTGTTATAAACAGGATACCGTAAGCTGTTTACCATCCTAAAAGATAAAAACATCAATTATCACCAATCGATATTTATAGACTCCTTGCAACTCCATATTAATAACATTAAATTTTCATACTTCTCTTCGAACATTCAAGCCTCATGAACATAAATCGTAATATTGTCAAAGCTTCCAACGATACGCAAAATCTGAGTTGCACCTGAAATGCAATCCATTTGCGAGAGTATTGACACTCCTCTCAGAACCATTTCTTCATGCTAAATTACGTGTATAATTGTAATTAACCTGTATTCAACAGAGAAATATTACCCACAGCACGTACAAGAATTTCAAAAAGAGTCCCAAGTTCAATGTGGTCTTAATTGCTTGATCAAAAGGTGGTATCCACCCAGTTCTAATGTTTTTAGAAATGATATTATGTCACGATGGATACACAATTTATCTATCAGGTGCTATTTTATTCACGTGTTTCGCCGTTGAGATATCATGGTTTCACTGATCGGCAGGCTGCAGGTTACACTGATTATTCATGCTCCATCTAGCTTGAGTACTATCTCTGTGAGCAGATTGAACTGCTTATTACATTCATGCAGGCACATGATCAATTGGAGCCTTTGTTGCCAAATAATTGTAGCATGTTCCTGATCAGATGCAGATATCCAGAGTAAGCGCTTATCTAGATCACTATGCAGAAGTGAGACTGCGCGGCGTGCTTCGAATATGTTGGATGCCGGATGCCTTCAAGCCGCAGTATAAACTGTAGTAGACATCCAGTGGTAGAAATTTACGAGCACATGAGTGCAATTCAGAGAGTGACCATGATGCCTTTCAACCTAGAGTCCCTGCATAGAAGCTTCAGGTGTTGGAGACGGCAGGCACTTTGTTACTCACGGGGCACAGTCCACCTTCGACAAGACTGAGCAAGATGGAGACAGATTAAAGGGTATGAATTATTCCCGTAAGAGCTAAAAAACACAGAGAACACCCGGATGTGAGCTGCACGAAGATGTGCAGATAGAGGACTGGCAGTGCTAGGCCAGAATTGGATTCAGACTAAGACGAAGGAGGAGGCTTCGGGAACCAAGAAGGAATAGTGGGGAGAGGAGGAAGCGATGGCAGATGAGTAGCAACTGCTGGCAAAGGAGGAAGCGTCGGAAGATACGATTTCAGAGTTGGCAGAGGAGGAAGCGTCGGAAGATGAGTAGCAATTGTTGGTAGAGGGGGAAGCGTCGGAAGCTGTGTTTTCAGAGTTGGCAGAGGAGGAAGAGTTGGGAGTGGAGGAAGAGACGGGAGCGGTGAAAGAGCAGGAAGAGTAATAAGTTGACGAGCTCCATGTACCGAGGGTAAACAAATTGCTGCCAAAAACATGAAGCACGTCATTGTCGCTGGAGATGCCATCGGAGATCGACACGCAGTCATTACCTCTAGTGTGTCCTCAACAATCTCTGCCCTTTGCAAATGAGTTCCTGAATGCTTGCAGCTACTTCTTGATCTGGAAGCCGATTGTTGGTCTACATACTGATGACGGATAACTATATATACGCGCTGGATTGAGCTCAGATCTCTTTGAGAGTGTTATGGTGAGAATGATAAAAGAGTCAAGACGGGTTGGCAGGGCAGTCATAAGCTATGCATATTTTTCTGCTAATCAGAGCAGTGATTGAATATGAACCTGGAACAAACATATGATAACACCACCAACTTAAGGATTCATCAGTTCGTATGTCTTAGTATTGTCTTCGAACTCAATCATGCAAATTGCAACTAGAATTGTAAGCGCTGAATATACTGTGTGGCATCTGATATATAAATATTTTATTTTCGTTGTATTTTCTGATGATCAGAAATGATCCTCTGACACGATGTTGACATCGGGTGCAAAGACAACGCCTTGCCACAAGCATTGGAGTTTTATACTGCCTCAGGTACCGAACTCCACTTGTGTTTTCAACTTGACATTAAGTTGCTCTCAATCATTCTTCCAGGTAAAACAAATATTTAAGATTTATTACTTTCATGGACATATATGCTGTCCATTGCTCCAAATTTTCATGGGACACGTGAAAAATGTAACTTACATTGCGCTTCGGCGAGCAGTAAATCCGGAATTCGCTGTCAGATGATCTAAATATCATAATACTTACTTCAGTTGAGATTCCTGTCCTGAAAAAGTAAGTGAAAATTCTATAGGAAGGACTGTAGATTTTAGTCCATGAGAGTTCTGATTAATCCTCATGTTTTTTTGATCGTATAGGGCTGTATCCATTTTAAATATGTGAGGATATTGGATAGATGCTCAATTTTAACATACAAGAGATGCTTTGAATTCAATATCAGAATAAAGCTTTAGGTTTTGCAATCATTCAGGTTAAAGCAGTTTCATAGGGTAGAAACATATAGCTATACATGTTAATATCTCGATAATTTATACATTAGGTTTCAATTGCAATGATCATCCTTCGAACAATATACATGTGTTTTAGAAAACATAAATGATGTCAACTTGCATTAGGTTCAAATTCACTCATATTTTCGTCTAGTATGAACATTTTTTTTGATGAAATGCTAAAGCTTTATATGTTTTAGCAGATTGACAAATTTTTTATTCATTATCATTGATATGACGTTAAAGGTCATATTTATCTATAATTCTTTCCTTCGTTGACATGAAAGTAATAATTAAATAAAGAACACCATAAGATTATTGCAAGTTTATAACAGTAGGATCAAACTATTTAAAGATTAAAAAAATCAATCAAAATTTGAACATACCAAGAACTAAAACTAGTTTTTAGTGTAAAAAATGTTCATATCTTAGAAGTCTTGAATATTCATAAGACAATTGACAATGAGAGAAAATAAAGAAATACAGAATTCACAATGCAAGCTACGTATACCAACATGTCAGATTTTCTGGTTTTAAAGAATTAACAGACAGATTACATTCAGCAAGTTACAATTTGACTAATGACTGCATGTATTAGTTTGTTTGTTTTGATATATCGATACAGATTTAGGATTTATTAAGAGAAATGAATAAAAACTGTATGCTTCCAATATAGTGTTCTTGCGTAAAAGACACAGTTACTCTGAAAGGTATGATACTTTTTCTCCTAACTCTAATACGATATCTTAAAGTAAACTGGCTTGACGTGTTAAAAATAAAATAGATTCGTTCATCATTGTTTATAATAATCTTAATTTCTTAATTAGAAGTCAAACACCTGTGCTTTATCACAGCATAGTGTTGAAAATATAGTATTCACTGTGAACGAGCTCCCGTTTATTGCACTGTACCTTCTTATATACAGTTTTCGGTTCACAGCACCAAGACTTTGTTAGGTAATCTCAGCGGTTAGGTGATCTCAGCGGCAAACTACGTATTTATCACTACCTAATTTGTTCCTATCTGCTGCTACACAGCGGTGTGCATCCCACCAGCGAAGCTTCCATTCAGCTACGCGTCCTCTGTCGTGAGCAGCGCAGGTCCGGCGTAAGGGAAAAACCAAGTGCGGGCATTAGCGTCCTCCAATGCTTAATAAACACTGAAAATATGTAATGGTGATGCGGTCTTCAGTTTTGCTATTATGTCCAATAGATATTCTATCTTCATCTTACTCTGCGTCGAGCTTCAGCCGTAAAAGTTTTACGGCCTAAGCTCGACGGAGACTAATATGAAGGAAGGAGTGAATTTTACCGTAAAACTCATGCCACGGTTAGACAACATCGCTCATCTTCTAGCAACAGTCGTCCCGGACTTCTGGATTTACGGGAACAATTTCTACTTCTCAATGAATCCACGCCATCTTGGTCAGTCTCGTCTGTCGTGGACTGCTTTCTTCGACTAGGAAGTGCCAGTCGTCTCCAACACCTTACGTTTCTATTGAGGGACTCTAGGACGATAACAGTATCACTTTGGGGATATTATATCCTACGGTTGTTACTGATCGTTCAAGGCATCGAGCTTTCCATGGACACTGTACATTTTGCTCCCACTCGTGTCGCAGGATCTAGATTAAACACGTACTCTACATATCTGGACCTGATCATTGAGAAACTTCAGTGATATACAAAAGACTTTTCTTGCATGGATGTAGTAAGTCTAATTGTAGATGAAGTAATATGTGCTGCAGAAATGTTAATCAGTTCAGTACCATTTTTTGATCACGCCATAAAGACCACAATGTACTTCAAAAATTCTTTAGTCTTTCTACAAACTCTCGTGACTCCATTTTATTCTTGTGCGTTGAATGTTATATTTCTCAACTGAAGCACACTCCATAGCTGTTTTGAGGGTACTCTGGATTTTTTCTGCTGGGAAGAAAATCATCTCGACTGTCTGCTAAGTACAGTAGCCAATTTCTACCAGGACCAAAGAGACCGAAACTTACACATCGATCCATTCAACATCCAGTGACAACAAAATGAACACGTAAACGAGCAGTGAGCCCTTTATCGCCATATGCTAGTGGTTTTCGTTTTGTTTTGACTTTACAGTGTTAAGGATTGCTCGTACACTTTGAAAACAAAGAACTATCTCAGAAGAATCTGAACATCGAAAGAAAGTGCATATCAGATGCATGTCGGATTTTGTGAGCGTTTAAAACCTTTCCATGTGTGTCACTGGGGTTTGAATCCTCAAAGTATAGTCTGAACAATGACACTTCTGACTACGGAGTTGACTTCAGTTTTTTATTTGAGTATAGGCCTCGGAAAGGTAATGTAAATGTTTAAGTTTAAGTACCCTTGAGTAAAAGATATTTTACTTTACATTGCCGAGATCTAGGTTAGTAGTCACAGGTACCAGAATTTAACACTTGAAACATGGTGGAATAGAACTTGCGTTCTCCTGTTGATATCTTCAGGGTTCTCGAGATATCATCAGATCGTTGAGGTTGTCCTGTTTGTTTCTGTTCACGTGTTCTTCCATAAATACGTATCTTTAAGATGTAGGCATTTATTATCAGCGATTGCAGAACTAAGACTCGTCGTAAACTCGAATGATATACGAAATAGTGGATAATGTTAAAAAACGATAATCTTGAGGAATGTGGTAACCCACTTTTTGTTTTTGTCGGAACTAAAACATTTTTGAATAGTAAGTACCGCGGCAGCAGCTGTAAATAGTAATCGGTACGCGAAACCAGAGTAAAAAGAGGATCGAGGACAGTCAAGGGGTTTTGGGCTTAGGCCACAGTGGGATGCTTGGGACGGAACGGGCGGTTCATGCTGAAGGATCCGCTTCGAGCACCTTCGGCGGTTGATCACTCATAACTTTCTCAATTCGTAACGCCTTGAGTTGCTTCGGGTCTTGTTGCAAAGAGCTCGCGACGCTCGTTCTAACGAGACCAAGAACTTGTGAAACGGATGAGAGGTCACTGAGTTATGAGTGTCGGAAGTTACTGATGGGGGGCCTTCGGCGGTAGAGCGACTTTGGCGGTACGCCTTCGGCGGAAGAACCGCCGGAAGATGCGCCTTGGGCGGTAGACGCCTTCGGTCAACGCCTTCGGGTCAACGCCTTCGGCGATACGGGAGAGTGCATTCGGCGGAAGAGTGAAACCCTCATAACTTTCTCAATGCGCAACGCCTCGACTTGGTTAGGGTCTCGTTGGAAAGAGCTCGACGCGCTGATTCTAACGAGCCCAAGAACGCCACGAACGGAGGAGAATTCCGGGAGTTATGAAGGTCGCAAGATACTCGGCTTTCCGCCTGCGCACCAGCGAAGAAAGTTTTGTCCTATGCGCGGACGAAGGAAGTTCGCCTGTGCACAGGCGCTTCGGCGTCGGCGGGAAATCCGCCTTGGGCCCTAGAAATGCGCCTTGTGAAGTAGAAAGTGTACGGCGCCTTCTGCGCCAGGTCATCGCCGCGGACGGCCAGGTCAGCGCCGCGGACAGCCAGGTCATCGCCGCGGACGGACTCTGGATAGGCGAACGCCTTCGGCGGAAGAGTAAAACCGACATAACTTTCTCAATTCTTAGCGGTTTGACTTGATTCGGGTCTCGTTGGAAAGAACTCGACGAGCTGGTTCCAACGAGACCAAGATCTCTTGAAACGGATGAGGCATCACCGAGTTAGGAGCGGCGGAAGTTTCTGATATGGAGGGCCTTCGGTGCTAACATTTAGAGGGGCCTTCGGCGTTAACACTTAGAGGGGCGGCTGACGACGCGGACGCCTGTGCACAAGCGGGTTGCAAGTAGGCGGCCTGTGCACAGGCAGGCCTTCGGCGGAAGGGTAAAATCGACATAGTGTTTTCAATTCTTAATGGTTTGCGGTGGTTAGGGTCTCGTTGGAAAGAGCTCGCGACGCTCGTTCCAACGAGCCCAAGAACGCCTGGGACGGATGGGATTTTAGGGAGTTAAGACTATCGGAAGATACGTAGACGTTCTCCTTCGGCCCTAGATGTTCGCCTTCGGGGTTACGCTTCCGGGAATTCCGCCTTCGGAGGTAGGGAGATCGACTTTTGTCCGATGCGCGGACGGACGCCTTCGACGGTTGCAGGCCTTCGGCGGAAGAGTAAAACAGTGATAACTTCTTCAATTCTTATCCGTTTGACTTGGTTAGGGGCTCGTTGGAAAGAGCACAACACGCTCGTTCCAACGAGCCCAAGAACGTTGCAAACGAAGCAAGGATCCGTGAGTTATGGGCGTCGGGGTGACTGTTAGAGATTGACAAGGTGTGGAAGTGCGTCTTTGGCGGTTGGACGCATTCGGCGGTGCGCGGAAGGAGATTTCCTCCGGCGAGGATCGGGTGGTCATGAATGTAGAATGTTCAAGTGTGGCAGTGGCGGCCTGCGAGTAGGCGGCTTGCGTGTAGGACGCGTGGAACCCACAGTCCTCGGATTTTGGAGAAGGAATTTTGGCCTAGGTTCAGAGATCTTGCGGGGCCCATATCTTTGCGATGGACGGTCGGATGGATCTGAAATTTTGTGGGGCCGTTGATCTCGGCCGGCCACGCCTGCCTGCAAATTTTCAGCCTCAGATCTTGGGTGGGAAGGCACTGGCGGCTCTGTACAGTAGGCTTAGGATTAAGATTTAGGGTTAGGGTTAGATTTAGGTTGTAAGTTAGAGGGGAAGGCAACAGCCGCCGACTCCTCAGGTGTAGGTTCTGTTGCGGCTCGCACCATGGCATTGCAGTGTAGTGTTAGGTAGGACTTAGAAGGTATAAAATAGTTCCAGGCGTTTTGCCTGGGGTTCTTTCCCATCAGAAGTGCAGATCAGGAACCCATTTCCTTTGCGTGTTTGTGTCCTTGAGTTCTGTCACCACGCACGAGGAGTTACAACTTAGCGTTCCGCATTTTGTAGCTGAAGGCCTTCGGCCGAATGTTCAGAGCTAGTACATTGGTTAGAGACTTGAGTAGTTCGGATCTGCACCTGCGGGTGACTGCCGATGCTCAAAGCCAGTGACTAGTTAGATACTTGAACAGTTTCGCCCCTACACCTTCGAGTGTTTCTTTCTGATTGTACTCCTTGGGATTTTTCCCCTGAATGCCAAAGTGAAGTTTTGCTACTTCGTGTAAGCCTTGGTTGTAAATTCAGGTTACGCTGCAGCAGGTGCCTTGAGGGTAACCCCTGTAGTATTTCTGGGAATGACAAGTGCCTGAGAATTCAAACTCTTCAATAGACTGTTGTTGTGTTACTGGAATGTTTCACAGTGAGTCCTTCAGTGTGGACCTGTGTTCTCTGCGCGTTTTGTGAGTTGAGAGTGTTGTTCACCGCGTCTGAGTGACTTCGATCCGAAGTAGGTAGTCCAAACCGGGTTTCCTACACTAGCAGCAAGCTAGTGGAAGCGTTGTAAAAGCCGGAGTTGGAAGTCACTGCCCGCAGCTTTGCTGAGTGTGCTCGTGAGAGACTTTCCCCCTGAAATCTTGAAGTAGAGGTCCTAACGGATCTCTGGGTTGTGTTTCTGTAGTTTCAGGTGTGTGTGTGTGTGTGTTACGCTGCACTGTGCGACCTCCGAGTGCGCTCCGAGTGGACACTTGCAGTATTTCTGGGAGTGACAGTCGCCTGAGAATTCAAACTCCTCAATAGTCTGTTAAAACGTGACTCTTTGTACCCTGTGTGTTCCTCTGTCCCTGTGGGTTCGACCTTTCTACCACTATATTGCAGTTTTAGCCTTTAGTGGGTTATTACAAGGAATGAGCTTATGAGACAGGTTTTAGACTAGTTAAGCACAAGGCTGTGTAAGAAGACTATGCTTTTCAAATTTTCTTACCTGCTGCACTCCACTTGATGTTTTCAGCTTATCATTGACTTGCTTCAAATTAATATGTCAGATGATCATTGATTGATTTTAGTCAATGTTGAGCAACTTCCATCTGCAATTGATATTTGAGAGATAGTGTATCGGCTGCGCTAGCTTCCGGTATAGACAGTAAAATTTACTTTCTATACCGGAATAAACCTTGGCAAACGATTTCTACAACCTTTGAGGTTTTCAGAGCTAATTGTAATATATGTTTTAGAACCATTAGCAGAGAGAGAAGACCAATTACAGGTCTCATTAGCTCTCTGCTTGTATGCTGTTCTTTAGGATGTGTTGTTTTTGGTTTTTAATGCACCTTGGAGTTATTATTTTGAAGATTGGCCATTTTTGGGTTTTTCCCAACTTTTCCAATTCTTCTCTTCTCTTTGATCATAAGATAAATCCCTGTGTGCGTCAACAGCTCCAGATGAGACAACATACTCTACATATTTAAGTCCAGTGAATCACTGAAACATACAACGACTGTAATTTGAGCAATCTCTCACAAGAGTGAGCAAATAAGGTCTTTACATCTCCAATCCAAATCAAAAGGGAAGATATAGACACAAACAACGAGGACAGCAGAGAAATCAAATCATAGGATTTGATTTTTGACCTCATCCCTAACGTTATAATCAGGATACCGCAAGTTATATACAACCCTGCTGTAAAGAGACAAACATCAATCATTACCACTCGATATTGACAGATACATGGCCACTCCGTACTCAGAGCTGTAATTTGTCATACTAGTGTTCGAACATTCAAGCCTCACAAACATGGACTGAGAACTTATCGAAAGTTCCAACGGTACACATTATCTACATGCCATCTGAATTGCAATCCATTTACGAGAGAGTTGAAACTCTTCGAACCAGTCCTGTATTTTGAAATATATGTGCAATCGTAAGCATCAGACTGTCGACAGAGATGGAAACAGTACCTACAAATTATACGTACAATATTATAGACAAAGTGGAAGTAAATTTGGTCTTTATTGCTTGATAAAGAATGGGTACGAAACAAGTTAGGCGTTTCATGAGGAAAAATATTTTCACAGAAAACCCCCAAGCTATCTCCACCTACACATGTCTCGCGGTAGGAAGATGAAGGCTTCACTGATCGGTAGACTCCAGGAAATATTGATTATTCATTACCATTGCTTCGGTACCATCGCCGTGAGCATATCTCTACACTGCTTGTTAATCTCACGCAGGCACATCATGTTGGAGTCTATGTTGCCAAGAGAATGAAGGATGTTTCCGATCGGGTCCAGATTTCCAGAATTAGCGCTTATTGTAGATTCCTACACAGAAGTGAGAGGAGAGTGCGGCGTGCTTCGAATATATCGGTTGCTGGATGCCTTGACGCATCAGTATAAACTGTAGTAGACATCCTGTAGTAAGAATATACGAGCACATAATTTCAATTCACGAAGTGACCATGATGCTTGACAACCTCCAGCCCCTCCATAGAAGGTTCTGATGTTGGAGGCAGAATGCACTTAGATAGTCACAGGGCACAGTGCACCTTCGTCAAGACTGTGCAAGATGGAGACAGATAAAAGGGTATGGATTATTCCCGTAAGAGCTGAAAACACAAAGAACACCCGGATGTGAGCTGCACGAAGATGTGCAGATAGAGGACTGGCAGTGCTAGGCCAGAATTTGATTCAGACTAAGACGAAGGAGGAGGCTTCGGGAAGCGAGAAGGAATAGTGGGGAGGGGAGGAAGCGATGGCAGATGAGTAGCAATTGTTGGCAAAGGAGGAAGCGTCGGAAGATACGATTTCAGAGTTGGCAGAGGAGGAAGCGTTGGGAGCGGAGGAAGTGACGGGAGCGGTGGAAGAGACGGGAGCGGTGGAAGAGCAGGAAGAGTAGTAAGTTGACGAGCTCCATTTACCGAAGGTAAACAAATTGCTGCCAAAAACATGAAGCACGTCATTGTCACTGGAAAGGCCATCGGAGATCGACACTTAGTCATAACTTTGACAATGTGCTCAACCAGCTATGCCCTTCGCGAATGCTTTCCTGTATGCTTGCAGCGACTTGTAGTTCTGAAGTCCGATTCTTGCTCAGTATGCTGATGATAGATATGTTGCAAGGGGATTTATACACACGGACTGGATCCAAGTTCAGATCTCTCTGAGAGTGGTGTGGTTAGAAAATTCTAAGAGTCATGACGGGTTGGCAGGGCAGTCATAAGCTATGCATATTTTTCTGCTAATCAGAGCAGTGCATGAATATGAACCTGGAACAAACATATGATAACACCACCAACTAAAGGATTCATCAGTTCGTATTTCTTAGTATTGTCTTCTAACTCAATCATGCAAATTGCAACTAGAATTGTAAACGCTGAATATACTGTGTCAAATCTGATTTATAAATATTTTATCTTCGTTGTATTTTCTGCTGATCAGAAATGATCCTCTGACACGATGTTGACATCGGGTGCATGCAAAGACAACGCCTTGCCACAAGCATTGGAGTTTTATACTGCCTCAGGTACCGAACTCCACTTGTGTTTTCAACATGACATTAGGTTGCTCTCAGTCATTATTCCAGGTAAAAAAAATATCTAAAACTTATTATCTTCATGGACATATATTCTGTTTATTGCTCCAAATTTTCATGGGTACGTGAAAGATGTTACTCACATTGCGCTTCGGCTAGCAGTAGATTCCGGAATTCTCTGTCAGATGATCTAAATGTCATAACACGTACTTCAATTGAGACTCCTGTCCTGAAAAAGAAAGTGTAAAATCAATAGGGAGGACTGTAGATTTTAGTCCATGAGTGTTTTGATTAATCCTCATGTTTTTTTTTATCTATAGGGCTGTATACATTTGATAAACGTGAGGAAATTGGATAGATGCTCAATTTCAACATACAAGAGATGCTTTAAATTCAATATAAGCATAAAGCTTTAGGTTTTGCTATGCAACTATTCAGATTGAAGTAGTTTCATAGGGTAGAAACATATAGCTATACATGTTAATATCTCGATAATTTATACATTAGGTTTCAATTGCAATTATGATTCTTCAAACAATATACATGTGTTTTAGTAAATTTAAATGATGTGAACTTGCATTCGGTTCAAGTTCACTCATATTTTTATCTGGTATGAACATTTCTTTGGATCAAATGCTAAAACATTATATAAGGAGATAATAATTCATCAACATCAAAATTCTCAATTCAACCAAATTCTAAATACCATGTTTATGTTTCTCTTGTTCTTGTAGTATAATCACATGTTGACAAATTCTTTATTCATTATCAATGATATAACATTAAAGGTCATATTTATCTAAAATTCTTTCCTTCGTTGACATAGAAGTAATATTTAAATAAAGAGCACCATAAGATTATTGCAAGATTATAACAGTTGAAAAAAACTATTGAAAGATTAAGAAAATCAATCAAAATTTGAAACATGCCAAGAACTAAAACCAGTTTTTAGTGTATGAAATTTTCACTACTTAGAAGACTTGAAGGTTTATTGAGATTGAAAGAAAATAAAGAAGTACACAATTCACAAAGCAAGCCACATCTACCAACATGTCAGATTTTCTAGTTTCAAAGAATTAACAGAAAGATTACATTCAGGAAGTTAGAATTTAAATAATGACTGCATGTATTCGTTTGTTTGTTTTGATATATGAATACAGATTTAGGATGTTTTAAGAGTAAATGTACAAAAACTGTCTGCTTCCAGTATAGTGATCTTGCCTAAAAGACACAGTTACTCTGAAAAGTATGATACTTTTTCTCCTAATTTTGATACAATATCTTAAAGTAAACGGGCTTGATGTCTTAGTTTAAAATAGAATCATTCATCATTGCCTATAATAATATTAATTTCTTGATAAGATGGCAAAAACCTGTGCTTTATCACAACATAGTGTTCAAAATACAATGTTCACTGTGAAGTAACTCCCGTTTATTATCACAATAATTTGTGTATTGTCACAATACTTTGTTATATTCAGTTATCGGTGCTGTAAACCGAAAACTGTTTCCGGTTCGTTAGGTGACCTGGTATTTATCATTCCCCATTTTGTTCATATCTGATTCTACACAGCGGTGTCACCACCGCTGTGTAGAATCAGATATACTTTGTTCTATATAGTGACGACTCCCATAGGACAGATGTGTCTTTTCGCTTAGTACATGCGCATGCTCTAGTGTCGTGAGGAAAATATACTTGCCAACAAACTGCCAACCTTCCCTGGCTCTCAGATCACACTCACCATACTACTCTCACTTACTACCGAACTGCCAACCAGCCCTGAGCTTCAGATCACGCATGCGGTGGTACTCTCATCGATATGAATCCTAATCGGACCCTTTTAGATTTCTTACTTTTGCCATATGCGTCATCAGCATGTAAGAGCAAGAGTCAACTTGAAGAGCAGGAAGCAGATAGAAACAAAGCAGAACTCGATTACAGAGAACAGATCCAGCTGAGAATACTGTATAGAGAATGACGACGCATCAATCTCTGATGGAATTTCCAGTGAAGATGCTGTGTGTCATATTCCTTACAGCGATATGTTTACCTTCGGTACTGGGAGCTCGTTCAATTCTTCAGTCGCTGCCTACTCTCCCAAATCATCCGTTTCACCTTCCTACGCTGCCTCCACTGCCAAGTCTTCCCAGTCATCGTCCTACGCTGCTAAAAATCTATGGGAAGAAATCAGAAATCAATATTTTCATCATAACTAAATCTTCAAAATTTTGATGCAATAATAGATATTATTTAAGTAATACTAGTTTGCTCTTCTTCCAACCTTTTCTCCTCTCCCCACTGTTCTTTCTCATTTCCCAAAGCTTCCCGCTCGTGGTTCAACGCCGCCTCCTCCTCGTTCTACATCACGGTCTCCAGCTCCTTCATCTTATTCTGCGTCGAGCTTCAGCCGTAAAAGTTTTACGGCTGAAGCTCGACGGAGACTAAGGAAGAATATGAAGGAAGGAGTGAGTTTTACGGTAAAAGTCATGCCACGGTCAGACAACATTTAAACGCATCGCTCATCTTCTAGCAACAGTCGTCCCGGACTTCTGGAATTACGGGAACAATTTCTACTTCTTAATGAATCTACGCCATCTTGCTCAGTCTCGTCTGTCGTGGACTGCTCTCTTCGAATAGAAAGTGCCAGTCGTCTCCAACACCTTACGTTTCTATTGAGGACTCTAGGACGACAACAGTATCACTTTGGGGAAATATGTCCTACAGTTGTTACTGGTCGTTCAAGGCATCGAGCATTCCATGGACACTCTACATTTTGCTCCCACTCGTGTCTAGACTAAGCACTTACTCTACACATCTGGACCTGATCACTGAAGAACTGCCAGTGATTTTCAAACGAATTTGCTTGCATGAATGTAGTAAGTCTTATTGAAGTAATACATACTGCAGAAATGTTAATCTGTTCAGTGCCATTTTTTGATCACGCAATGAAGGCCACAATGTACTTCAAAATTCTTTGGACTTTCTACAAACTCTCGTGACTCCATTTTATTCTTGTGCGTTGGATGTTATATCTCTCAACTGAAGCACACTCTATAGCTGTTTTGAGGGTACTCTGGATGTTTTCTGCTGGGAAGAAAATCGTCTCGACTGTCTACTTGGTATAGTAGCCAATTTCTACCAGAGAAAAACTTACACATCGATCCATCCAACTTCCAGTGACAACAAAATGAACACGTAAACGAGCAGTGAGCCTTTTATCGCCATATGCTAGTGGTTTTCGTTTTGTGTCGACTTTACAGTGTTGAGGATTGCTCGTAACTTTTGAAAACAAAATACTATCACAGAAGAATCTGAACATCGTAAGAAAGTGCATATCAGATGCATGTCGGATTTTGTGAGCGTTTAAAGCCTTTCCATGTGTGTCAGTGGGGTTTGAATCCTCAGAGTATAGTCTGAACAATGACACTTCTGACTACGCAGTTGCCTTCAGTTTGTTAGTTTAGTAGTGACGGGTACCAGAATTGAACACTTGAAACATGGTGGAATAGAACTTGCGTTCTCCTGTTCATATCTTCAGGGTTCTCGAGATATCATCAGTTCGTTGACGTTGTCCTGTTTGTTTCTGTTCAAGTGTTCTTCCATAAATACGTATCTTTAAGATGTAGGCATTTTTTATCAACGATTGCAGAACTGAGAGTCGTCGTAAACTCGAATGATTCACGAAATAGTGGATAATGTTAAAATACGATAATCTTGAGGAATGAGCTAATGAGACAGGTTATAGACTAGTTACATTTAAGCACAAGGCTGTGTAAGACGACTATGCTTTTCAAAAAACAATTTCCTACTTCACTCCATTTGATGTTTTCGGCTTATCATTGACTTGCTTCAAATTGATATATCAGATGATCATTGATTGTTTTAAGTCAATGTTGAGCACCTTCAATTGATATTTGGGAGATCGTGTATCGGCGTGCGCTAGCTTCCAGTATAGATAGTAAATGTTCTAACCTTAAATAAACCTTAGCAAACGATTTCTACAACCTTTGAAGTTTTCAGAGCTTATTGCAATATATGTTTTAGAATCATTAGCAGAGAGAGAAGACCAATTACAGATCGCATTAGCTCTCTGCTTGTATGCTGTTCTTTAGGATGTGTTGTTCTTGGTTTTAATGCACCTCGGAGTTATTATTTTGACGATTGGCCATTTTTGGGTTTTTCCCAACTTTTCCAATTCTTCTCTTCTCTTTGATCATAAGATAAATCCCTGTGTGCGTCAACAGCTCCAGATGAGACAACATACTCTACATATTTAAGTCCAGTGAATCACTGAAACATACAACGACTGTAATTTGAGCAATCTTTCACAAGAGTGAGCAAAATGGTTCTTTACATCTCCAATCCCAATCAAAAGGGAACATAGACACAAACAACGAGGACAGCAGAGAAATCAAATCATAGGATTTGATTTTTGACCTCATCCCGTACGTTATAATTATATACAAACCTGCTGTAAAGAGACAAACATCAATCATTACCACTCGATATTGACAGATTCATGGCCACTCCATACTCAGAGCTGTAATTTATCATACTAGTGTTCGAACATTCAAGCCTCACAAACATGGACTGAGAACTTATCGAAATTTCCAGCGGTACACATTATATACATGCCACCTGAATTGCAATCCATTTACGGGAGTGTTGAAACTCCTCTGCGAACCATATTTTGAAATATATGTGCAATCGTCAGCATGATACTCTCGACAGAGAGCGAAACAGTACCTACAAATTATAGATACAGTATTATAGACAAAGCGGAAGTAAATGTGGTCTTTATTGCTTGCTAAAGAATTGGTACGAAACGAAATTGGTACGAAATTAAAGCGTTTCATCAGGAAAAACATTTTCATGATAGAGACACAGAAAAGCCCCAAGCTATCTCCACCTACACATGTCTCGCGGTAGGAAGATGAAGGCTTCACTGATCGGTAGACTCCAGGAAATATTGATTATTCATTACCATTGCTTCAGTACCATCGCCGTGAGTATATCTCTACACTGCTTGTGAATCTCACGTAGGCACATCATGTTGGAGTCTATGTTGCCAAAAGAATGAAGCATGTTTCCGATCAGGTCCAGATTTCCAGAATTAGCGCTTATTGTAGATTCCTACTCAGATCTGAGAGGAGAGTGCGGCGTGCTTCGAATATAATGGGTGCTGGATGCCTTGACGCTGTACAACCTCCAGTCCCTCCATAGAAGGTTCTGTTGTTGGAGGCAGAATGCACTTAGATACTCACAGGGCACAGTGCACCTGCGTCAAGACTGAGCAAGATGGAGACAGATTAAAGGGTATGGATTATTCCCGTAAAAGCTAAAAACACAAACAACACCCGGATGTGAGCTGCACGAAGATGTGCAGATAGAGGACTGGCAGTGCTAGGCCAGATTTGGATTCAGACTAAGACGAAGGAGGAGGCTTCGGGAACCGAGAAGGAATAGTGGGGAGGGGAGGAAGCGATGGCAGATGAGTAGAAATTGTTGGCAAAGGAGGAAGTGTCGGAAGATACGATTTCAGAGTTGGCAGAGGAGGAAGCGTCGGAAGCTGTGTTTTCAGAGTTGGCAGAGGAGGAAGCGTTGGGAGCGGTGGAAGAGACGGGAGCGGTGGAAGAGCAGGAAGAGTAATAAGTTGACGAGCTCCATGTACCGAAGGTAAACAAATTGCTGCCAAAAACATGAAGCACGTCATTGTCACTGGAAAGGCCATCGGAGATCGACACATAGTCATAACTTTGACAATGTGCTCAACCAGCTCTGCCCTTTGCGAATGCTTTCCTGTATGCTTGCAGCGACTTGTAGCTCTGAAGTCCGATTCTTGCTCTATATGCTGATGACAGATATGTTGCAAGGGGATTATATACACACGGACTGGATCAAAGTTCAGATCTCTCTGAGAGTGGTGTGGTAAGAAAATTCTAAGAGTCATGACGGGTTGGCAGGGCAGTCATAAGCTATGCGTATTTTTTTGCCAATCATAGCGGTGAATGAGCATTTACCTGGTACAAACATATGATAAGACCACCAACTAAAGAATTTATCAGTTCATGATTCTACATTAATAGATTCAAAATTAAACATGCAAATTAGAAATAGACTTTTTGATTACTGAAAGTCCTTCTTGAGCATTTTTTTGCAGACATTTTATCTTTCAAGTACTTCTTGATCAATGCGAAATATCTTCTGATACGATACTCAGATAGGGACAAGGCTCGGCAACTACTTACAATGCTTTCTTATAGACCGAACTCATGTTATTTAGAATTTTAGATGAGCTTGCTTCCAATCACTCTTTCATTTGAATATCATATTGAGAAGGACATGGTGTTCGCTAGGTTTGCATTTGTATGTGGTATTAGGACAACGGCGTGCATATCATACTGGAATAGGCTATTACATTATATTTGGTTGTAAGCTCATTGAGAAAGTAAACTTTCAAAGTTTATTGTAAAGTCATCATTGGAAAAAAAATTAAAATTGAGCTCGTGCGGCACCGTGTATATCAATTTTAGATATCTCAAATTAGAAATTCAATCTAAATAGCGTGCTCGTGCCAATGTTGTACATTTCCTCTTTGATCTGGTGGTGTACAATCTGATCTACTCCGATTATATGATATGACAAAGAGAGTTAATGGAGTGGTTGATTGTTATCAGGTCTCTTTGAGAAGTTTGGAGGCCAGAAATCTACATATCCTATTGGTTGATAAGGGATTTTCTCTTAATCTACGTCTTCACTTTGGCTTCTATTTCTTCAGTGACATGTTTCACGTTTTAAGGTGGGAAGGATTATTAGGTATATAACCAAAACGTATAAGAACCTCTTACTGCATTCACGCTTTGTCAATATTTCTTCCTTTCCTGTACAAATATACCAAAAGTAAGTAAGCAAGAAAGTACATATTGAGAAATGATTGACTGATGATTTGCCTAATGTCTGTATGAAGTATCTCCATGTTCTTCAGATGTATGAAGGTCCTTGGAAGCCTGTTGTCCTTTGCTTTCGAGATGACAGAATCACAAATGATATATTTGGCTACGATTTGCTCATCCCTATTCACACAGCTCTTCACAAACACCGTAAGCCATATTCATCTCCAGCTTAATTGGCCTTTCTAAAACTTCTTCTCTATCGTTCTCAGAATTCAATATAGTAAGAGTGTGGGCCAAGGGTATAGAAAATAATCATGCACTATAATTGAAGCGCATCCCCTCTATCATGCATAGTTATTTAACATTCTGAAATTCTCGAACATATACACGGATATTCCTTGGGCTGGACATATTTTATCACCTGAACTGCATGGAAGCACGACTTTGTCGTTTTAGATATGGTGACTGCTATACCACATGAAACATATGACGATATATTTCATTTACACTCTAACGTCATTGTTAACATTTGACATTGACATGGAGAGTTAGTAATTTGACTTTATCCAGCCATAATTGACTGCCAAGCTTTTATGACCGTTAAGCAGTATAAAAAACATGATTCAGTATGACTTCTAACGATTATTCGTTTGTTACGCAGACTGGAATTCCTGAAGCCCATTAATATTTTATGCATAGTAGAGCGCATGCTCTGCTAAGGTTAGAGGAAATTGTTGTCACTAACGACCTGCCAAATTCCTCTGACTCTAAGGTCATATAATACTCTCTATGTTATTAATTATGATTAATATTCTCTCACCATAATACTCTCACTTACTACCGAACTGCCAACCCTGATTATGACTCCCTTGAGTCTCAGACCATGCTTGCCGTAGTATTCTAATCGATCTGAATCCAGATCCGGCTCCTATAAACATACGTTCTTTCACCATATGCGTCATCGGCATGTAAGAGCAAGAACCAACTTGAAGAGCACGAAGCAGCTGGAAACAAAGCAGAACTCGAATTGAGCACACTGTGAAGACAATGGCGACGCATCGATCTCTGATGGAATTTCCAGTGAAGCTGCTGTGTGTCATATTTTTAACAGCAATATGTTCACCTTCGGTTCTGGGAGCTCGTTCGCTTCTTCCAACGCTGCCGCCTCTTCCTACTCTTTCTACTCATCTTCCAACGCTGCCGCCTCTCCCATCTCTCCCCACTCATCTTCCAACCCTTCCACCTCTTCCTACTCATCTTCCAACTCTGCCTCCTCCTCCTGCTCATCTTCCAACGCTGCCGCCTCTCCCATCTCTTCCCACTCATCTTCCAACCCTTCCACCTCTTTCCAGTGTTCTTTCTCATCTCCCAAAGCTTCCTCCGTTTCCCCATCTCCCTTCTCATGGTTCAGCGCCGTCTCCTCTTCATTCTATTTCCTCTTCTCCCACTCCTGCACCTTCCAAAACTTCTCCTCCTCCTCAAACGAAATTACCGTCTCCAGCTCCCTCATCTTTGTCTGCGTCGAAATTTCTCCAAAACACTCCTGGCTTATAGTAACATTGGGAAGCATCGCTCATCTTCCAGCATCAGTCCATGGGTGAAGCTCTCTGTCTTCATCTTTTGAAGATCAAATTCTTCTTCCTCCATTTTCGTGGACATCTTGGTTATTCTCGTTTGAGGTAGAATGGTATTTTAGAATAGAGAACTGCCAGCCGCCTCGAACACCTGCGAGTCCTGTGGAGGGACTCGGAGACGTCTTTGGGGATCTTAATTCAAGTGCCAATGATCAAGTCCCTACTACTACATATGTCCTACAGTTCTTACAGGTCGTTGAAGGCATCTAGCATCCAATGCATTCGAAGAACGCTGCACATTGGGCTGTCAGTCGTGCCGCAGGAGCTAGACTCAGAGCGTACTCTACATATCTGGACGTGATCAGAGACAGACTTCAGTTCGATCCAAATAAAAACTGCGACATCATGTGCTTGCATCAATGGAAAAAATGAAAATTAGATGAAATAATATGAATGCTGAGATGAAGTAGATTCCGATAGGTACAATTTCCTTGTCAAGCAATAAACACCACAGTGTACTTCGGAATTCCTTTTGACTTTATTGCATGATGTATACTTGCGTGGCTTCCATTTCATTTTGCTGAGTTGAATGCAAAATTTCTAAACTGAAGCACAATACCCCACAGCTTTTCTGAGGATGAAGCAACAAGATAGCCTGGATGTTGTCCAGTCTCAACGGGATGACTTGAACTCCTTATTGGGACAGTGGCCCAGTTTTACTCATACCAAAAGATATGAACGTCACATTTTCGATCTAAGTGAGTTCCAGTAACAGCAGTACGTAATTGAGGAATGAACAGTTCACTGCCATGAAATGGTGGTTGCGCTGTGTTGACAGTAGAGTGTTAAAAGTGGAGAATCTTTTGGAGTTCAAGAATCATGAGTAAAGTTCAGATCAGCTGCTATTCAAACTATGTGAACAGTTGGAAACATTCAAACCCTTCAATCAATGTTTATGAGGTTTGAATGCTCTAAGTTTAATATCGAAAATGACAATCCTGAGTATGCAGCAGTTTTGGGTCTGTTAGTTTAGAAAAATCGATTATAGCGGCTAGCTGACTGATTCTAAAAACTCTGACAGTGTGACCCTTTTAAGCTCTACTCAGAATTTGATTCATTTAGTTTTCTGCACCGAAATAGGATAGACGTTGTGATCCCAGGTTTTAAATATTGCCCTTACTATCATCAGGGTTTTCTAACTATGTTTCAACAACTTCCTCTTATTTTTTCATAATGATTTGATTGTGTTGGATCTTGTCAGAATGCTTTCGAATAGATGAATTAATTAGAGCTAACAAATCGAGACAGATATTTAGACATCGATTCAAAAACTGAGAAGAAATTGAAGACAGATTGAAGCAAACATCAAAATACCTTAAGTTAGCGAGCCTTCCTGGAAAGTTTCTGATTCGCTTGGCGGTGAAGTAAGCGATCCTTCTGTACTGATGCAGAACGTCAGCAAGTGTCCTGTTTATTATTGAAATTCAAACATGGAAAGATTTGCAAAGATATCAAATCCCTCTAGATATTGTTTATGATCATCTCCAAATGCGAATCTAGGACAAAGCTTTATAAATATATATTTTGCCTGATATTGAGTAATCCAAGTTAAGGTCTCTTGGAGTGAAAACTCTGAGTATAGCACGCCAATTTTTTAACTGCTACTTACAAAATGTCTTCACTGCCTTTTCCTTGTTACTTCAAAAGTTTCAAAAGACTTTTCTACAGGATGCATGGTCCCTCATTTTACGTGGGTAATCCTTCCGTTAATCATAGTGGAAAGATATATGTGAATTTGAATTACACATAACTTAAATTATGTATGTAAGAATTAAGTAGAATCTATACTCTATATTAATAAAAATATTCTTATCTTTAATTGATAAAAATGTAACATGTAATCATTTTTAGCATTTAAAATTACTTTTAGAATTATGTGAACCAATTTTTTTAAAAAAAAATTCAAGAGTTGTAAATTTTTTAAATTAATATTTAAAGATTATGAATATTTTATTGTAAATTCTATACTACGAACCATAATTTCAAAGTTCAAAAAAATATGAATTTTTTTGCAAAAAAATTTAGAGCATAGAAGGAAATATCTGTTTAAATATTAGCTTAAAAACATCATGAAATATTTCAACAAAATATCAATTGTGTAGATTCCAATAATCACATATCATTTGACCAATATATCATATCCTCATGTTTATCTATCTATGGTGCTCCATAAGTCGTTACAGTTTATTTACACATCAAAACATACTTGTCATATTAGAAATCATCATTAGTATGACATAAATGGGAATCCTTGTACATATTCAACTTGTATTCTGATAGGATTATCGTAGCTGATATCAATAAGTTTGTTGAGTAATATGTTTGTGATTCATAGGATGTAGAAATTGAAGTCACTTGCTATATATTGCTTTAGATCTATATTTTGTTAAGTTATCATTATAGCGTGTGTTATCATTATGTTACTCTACTCTCTAAGTAGAGTAACATAAATCAAATCACTATATATTATAGTCAGTTTCATTTAATATAAACTATAAGATAAACCTCAGTTTTATATAATTATTCATTATTATGAATGATTTATATATGTATATATATATCATAAAACATCACAGTCCGGAAGAAAATCCTAACACTACAGTCATCATCATATATTCAAGAAAATTCACATCATCAACTCATATACCTTCAAATCTATTCAACAAGATTTAGATTCCATCAATATGTATAAATGTTTTACAGTTTGGAATTCTCCGTGCTCCAAAAGCAAAGTAAATAAGGACAGACTTAAAGGAAGAGTTCAATAATGACTCCAATTCCCAAAGCCATTGAGATGTACGAATAGTGCAAGACCCTCTTCTTCTTCTTTTTTACCCAGTTTGGAAATATGCAGTGGTATCAACATACAAAGCGATCTTAAATGCTGCGCCATATCCAACAAGGTTATGAAGATATGCATGTCGAAAAGGTGTTAGCCTACGCTTACAGCAGTATACTCCCTGTTCTTGTACGTACCCGTATGGCCTGCAGAGGATGTATACGTTTTCTATACGTCGCGCCATTCTGCGAAGGGGTTCAATCCTGGAGCAAAAGAGGACGCGATGCAAGGCAGAGGGCCCTTCGACAGATGCTTGGCCTCGTGGTAATGAATGACATCGTAGGGAATGTCCGTGAACTCATGCCAAGCGTCTTCCGCTATGTCGAAATACCACGTCGCATACGGCTCATCTGTTGAGTCTCCGAATGCACTCCCCTCGACCACGTACATCGATGAATGTTGATCTCCATATGCTCCCGTCTCGTGCTTTTCGATCTTCGTTGCCACGGGATCTTTGGCAAACCGCGCGCTGTTGGACACGACGACTCTCGATGATACTTGCAGAGTCGATTTGTCCAATTTCACCGTGCTGATCGAATGCAGCCTGCGCAGTGAGGCTGGTGTGAAGGGATCTCTCTGGTAAATGAACGTGTTGCCGATCTCCCGCTCCGACGAGGAAGTGACGAGCATGTCTTTCAGTCGCCAGTTCTCGGAACAGCGAGGGCTTGTCGAGACAGTCGTCCAGTGCTCGGTCGATACGTTGAAAACAAATTGGAGCATGTGCGAGCGGCTGCTCGTGGCGAGAACTGCGTAAAGGTCGTCACCATAACACACTGAATTGGAGTAATGAACTGGGATGAGGGCCGGACCACACTTCATATCATGAGTGACAACATTCCAGCTCCTTGTATCGGATGCGTAAATCTGAACAGTCAAGCGGAGCTGAATCTCGAGATCTTCCGGTGCCTTTGCTCGTCTCTTGGTTGGTTTGAGCAGATCCCTCTCGTACAGCAGAAGTATCTTGAAGTCACAAATCTCATCACCTTGCATCAAATGAACTGCACAAGGAGGCTTTCTCATCCCGTCATGGATTACGGGTGACGGCAGAGTTCTCGTGTTGAATGATCTTCCGGTTATCAAGTTGGCCAGCTGCACTCTGTACAGGGTCATGCCCACACGCCACAATCTGCACAGAATGGATCCGAAGAATGTCCACATTTGAGGGTACTTCTCGTTTGGAAACGAGCGTATCACGTCAGGGATGCCAAACTTCTTCCAATCGAGCATCCTTTTGTTCCAGGCCACAAATCCAGGTCTCGTTCCAGGCGTCCTGAGAACTGGGAAATACTTGGGCCAGCGGTGGGAAACGGAAGCGACTTCAGTCTGAAAATCTGTAAATGAGCTCCCCACAACCTCGAGAGGATCCATTCCCATCTTGACTGCCCTTTCTACAGCTCGCTCTCTGTCCAGAAATCTGATAGCCCAAGTTCTCGACAAGAATCGCACCGTCATTATTTCCGGAAAAGGTAATCTTGCCAGAATTTTAATCACGACACATTCTGGAAGGGTGATCTTCGACCAGGGGATCCTTTCGGGGCAATACATGGTCACCTGAGATTGAGAAGAGTCCAATGCCTTCGTACCAATGTCGCTCGATAAAGAGGAGAGTGGGGCCTTCTTCAAGTGAGAGGAGGAGGCATGCGCTTGCGGCTGGCGCAAATTGGAGTGCCGTCATTGGACCGAAAGGCGGACCTGTTCTCAGCTTTTAATAAGCTCGAGAGGATTTTCATTCGTACGAGGACGATGACCTTAAACAGATCTGTGCATGGCAACCGCTTCTAATGTCGTTGTGTCTGAAGATCTTTAGAACGGATCTAAGTCAGTCTCAAATTTCGAAACCTGGAAGGTCGATAAGTCCGAGCTCAAATTCGTGGAACGTTTGAGTCATCTGGACTCCATGCAGTGAGTGATGGCCACTGAGACACTGGTATCTCTGGGAGCATACGGAATTCATATGAAGTGTATTACAGGCCTCGGATTTGGGTTTTCAGCACTTCAGAAGCATTGCTGCTTCCAGCTCTGAGCAGAATTCTTTCTTGTCAATTCCACTTCTATTGCAAGAACATTTGACAGGTTCTTGCGGTTTCGAAGATTCTGCGTCGGGAGCATCGTCCCGAGGCCTGCTTCTCCTCGGGAAATTGCATAGCCGAAGATGAGAGGGCGACGAGGGCGGCGAGGGCGGCGGCCGCAGGGTGGGGATGCCCCAATTAGGCCTCTCGTCATCAAGTTGAAGCGCAAACTGAACGACGGGGACGAGACGCCGAAATCTCGCGGCGTGGTCGACGACACTCAGAGACGCAAAGGGATGAAATTCTCGATGGGCGAGGAGATGAAATTGGTGAAGGTGCTGCTGGACCACCGGAAGGCAGGGCGTGTCATGCCACTGCACTCCGCCACTACCACCTGCTGGACGGAATTGAAGACCGTCCTCTACCGTGGCGAAAGCAGAGTCACCCCGCAGCGCCTCTACGACAAAGTGCGCCGCACGCTGCGCCAATTCAAGAGGAATCAGAGTGAGCACCTGCTCCACGAGACGGAGGCCGACCGGAGCAAACGCATCGAGAGGATTCTCTTCGATTGCTGGCACATGTTCTTCTCGCCGATGGTCGATGACACGAGCCGCCGCCGAGCAAAACCCGCAGCATCGGCAGCAGCCACAACAACATCATCATCGTCAACGACAGCGCAGCACCAGCTGGAGAAGGCCACATCGGGCAATGCCGTGAAGGTCGTGCAGATCTCGAATCCTCAACGATCACGACGAAGAAATGATACCCCCGCAAAAAGCCAGACTCTGCGGCTCCTGCTACGACCTCCGGAGCCAGCCCCATGGAGCAGACCTCCGAGAGTCAGTGAGTGAGGGAGTCGAGGAGGAAGACGACATTACTGACCTTTCTTTCTCGAATCCTAACGAAATCTATCAAGTTCTATAATTCTCTGTCACATGTTCTGGAACATTGCAGAACATAATCTGGTGTCATACCGACTTGAGCTCTAGAGAAGTGACACCAAAACTGCAGCATGTTTTATGGGCAACGATAATCCGACTTTAGCCGAACTTACAATCAAAGTCCTGTAGGATTCTCATTAAAATCGACTCAAGCGAAAATCCTCATACAGCGCTTTTGAATTGATCATCACAATCAGACCACAATACAAGATAGCCAGTTTTGTTACGTAGGGTGAGAAAGAGAATTCGATCCAAATGCCGTGAGGTAACAAACCTCACAGCATTTGGATCGAATTCTTAACACTAATGCATGACATCAACAAGTCAAAACACATTGGGCAAGATGATAAACTCACCAACTCCTTGTAACCAATCTTTCTGCCCATCTTTTATTTGTATTTATGCTTGAAATTGGAAATTCATATCAATGTATCACTTGATAGTTATCGACTATTCGTTCAAGTCGGTTGCAAACAAGAAAACGTCTCGGTTAATCTATTTTCAGCCAATTGTTTAGATCGAGAGCAATCTGATCTTAGCGCGTCTAATTCCAAGCTTTCAAACACACCGAAAAGACATTCATTGCTCGTACACCAACTCAGTCTGAATCAGCCAGCAAAGTAACTTCCAAACCTTCATCTGAAAAGATTGAGAGCTATAATGTGATCCATATGGATTCCTTGCAGGTGATGTCTCCATTATAGCAAGTCATAAACTTTTGTTTAAATAATTCATAGGTTATCAGCAGTCTCCCTTACCCTTCGATGGTTATGAGAAATTACGCTAAGACATATTTTACATAGCACTGTACTCCTTACTCTATTATTGATACAAACTCAAAAGTAAGCTCTAGAGTGCTAACTACACCTCACATCACTAGTAAGGCAGACTTCTGAACTGATAATTTTTTAAAAAAAAAGAAAAATATATACAAAAATAAAATAAAATTGAAAACTCAATTGTGAGCTGGATACACAAAATCGAAATGGTAAACCGTACTGCCTGCTGACTCCTTACCGAGAGAAATAAGCCTAACCGGATAACCAATCACCTAAAATAAATACAGTAAAAAAAAATTAATTCACCATAAATCCAATAACTGAGCTAACGCTTTGGGCTGATTGAGGAATTATTTCACAACAAAAAAGTATTAACTATTTAAAAAATGGGAACTTATTATACGAACTTCCGATTGTTTAGGTGGCAATCCGAGTGCCGCCATTTTGGCAGCAGAGACCTTGTCGGGTCCTCGCGCTGGGCGGCAGATCTGGAAGCTGCTTGCCGTCGTCGAAAGTGTGCGTGCACCTCTCGGTCACCGCAAAGGGTCGACCCCGTCGCGGAAGCTCGTCCAGCTGCCAGCAGGCTGGAGGACCGCATTGATCGACCTAACGTGCGCCTCATAGCACCGGCCGTATGGTGGTATTCCGGTGGTATTCCGACGCTACACTGGCTCCAGTCTTATACTGCAGGATAAAACAGGGACCCCACGACACACACACCAACATTAACTATTTTATTTTATCTTATTATGAAGGAAGATGGTAGGAAGTAGATTAGAGAGAGATGTAGATCGGAAAGGGACAAATTCTTTGAAATTCGACCCAACCCAAATATGAAGAAACTAGAACGAGATTTTGGTTCGAATTTGATGTTAAGAGCACGGTGTGCAGCTGATGCAACGAGTAGAAAGCAGTTGAAAGGAAGAAACATAGTGCGCGCATCTGGCTGATGGAATTCTTATGAGCAACTTTGGTATCTAACTAACAATCCCAGAATGAGCAGTTAAGAACGTAAAAAATTAGTTTCTATATTCTAAACCAGAAAAGATTTTTTGAGCTTTGGTTTGGGTTTTGATAACCGTGCAATTTCCTAAGCGAATAACACATCATAAGAGGTGTGAAAGTAGACTGGTTGCCTTGTTACATGGAGGCTAATGCAGCTATTATGATTTTTAATGGTTGCTTCAATTTCTTTGTGGTTTATATTATGGAAGTCAAAAAAATATCATATCTCGTGCAAATGTATACAAAATCATTATAGAGAGAAAAAGTTAATTATAGGAGAAACTCTTATTCGTATTTAGAGAAAAACCTAATCAAGGATGAAAGCAATGAGCACATCCATTTGTGATGCTTGAGACAAATAGTGACGGACTCTACCTTTGAAATGGAGTCATGATTAACAAAGTTGAGGGTCTTAATGTATTGCGAGTCCAAGATGTAAATCAAATCACAAAAGAAGTGATTCATGAAAAATATTGGAGTAGGCATAAGTGCCAATCACAAGAATGTGGAGCTAAGTCTAAATAGAGACCAATGAATCTAAATTGCTTGATGAGATCAATCAAGTTTAGTTTTACCCAATAGTACCCCACCGACGGCACATCGTCGCTAACTTCTGAAAGGTGTTTCTATACACTAAAGCTTGCATCATATACAAGCTATAGTGAACCTCTGAGATCGCATGATCTCAGAAAGTATGAATTGTGACAGACATTGTCACAAAGGTGCATAGAGATTTGGGATTTTGAGTTGTCAAAAATTAGATTCTATGAGCAACAGCGGACGTATGGAATCAGTGAGCAATAGTGGACGAGTGAAATCTGTGGAGGAAATTCATATGGAAGGAAGCGGAGGACTTGTGAATTCAAATGTTAGGTAATTTTACAAAATTTTGGTGCAATGGGTAAGTCTCGGACGAAGAAATATCCGATTCCAATTGCGCTGAGTGGAAATTTGAGCAAATCAATGTGGACAACGAGATAATCTTGCTATCACAGTTGCACTACCTGCATCGTCTGTTCATACTAGAACATGTGTAACATGTAACTTCGGAAGGTACCATCGGGTAAAACAAAACTTAAAAGGTTCCAATTAAGTCTTGACAAGATAAGTTAATATTTTAGTATTACGTTGTAAAAAGGTAAAAGGTAGAGGTAAAAATTAGAGGTTGGCTATAGGTTAGATAAGGAATAATGTAAAGGTAGAGCTAAATGGATTATTAGGTAATTATTGGGTAATCCTCAGATCCGGTAAAAACAAAAAACGCAGACCCTCTCAAAATTACTCAGAATGTAATTCTACACAGTCTCCTTGAAGACGTGAACCACAGTTGACTTAGTATTGATTTTCATCTTTTGTTGGTTTAAATTTAAATTTAAACATCAATAGGTTTTACATATTACCTTGGTTTTATGTTAGTAAAACGAAATCCAGAATTTCACGTTCTCTAAACTACACACAGACCGGAAGAAGAGACTAGCGAGTCTTTACTCGTTTGTGCGTGTACTCTACTTGAGAGAAAAAGATGCTGGAAGACTTTGCATACATGTCAAGTTCTTTCTTCATATGGTTGAAAAAAATTCATCTTTCTACCCACAGAAGTCTATCATTGCTAGTGCATCCATAATATCAATTTTGTCAAAAGTATATATGTAACAAATTTAATTTACTTCGAACTAAACTAGAGTTTACTCTAAATGTTGATATAGATACTTTAGCGTGCACAAGTCGTAATTACCACGTCAGCGATTCGCACTCTTGGTAGGTAGAGAGTATGTGTGTTAGTTCACAATGCCACATCAATTATCCGTGTGCTTGTTAGGTAGAAAGTAGGTGTGTTAGTTCACAGTGTCACGTCAACGATTTGTGTGCTTGTTAGGTAGAGAGTAGGTGTTTTAGTTCACAGTGTCACGTCAACGATCAGTGTGCTTGTTAGGTAGAAAGTAGGTGTGTTAGTTCACAGTGCCACGTCAACGATCCGTGTGCTTGTTAGGTAAGGATTGAGTGTGTTAGTTGAAAGCGCCATGTCAACAATCCGTGTGCTTGTTAGCGTTATTCGCCACATCAGCCATCCACTGGTAGTGGGGATAAGATCTTATCTCATTGTACTTGTTGGTGAGAGCTATAAAAGGGAGAGGAGAACCATTGTTGATATCTCTCATCTTCAGAGTTTACATTTCTATCTTCGATTGAACTTCTCTTTAAACCCTAGTGTTAACATATGACTCTATGATTCTTCAGTACAAACACGTTCCTATCCAAAAAACAACAATGGAGGTTTAAGCAGAATTGATAATTCTGACCGCAATCGATGTTCTTCATAATCTCATGAAAGTACAAAGTGTAGATAAGGACTTAAGGATTAAACTTTAGCACATGACGGACTCCGACAAAGATGATCTAGAGATTTTACATTCCATCACAAAACTGGATAGAGTACAAGAAGGAAATGAAGTGCTTGATGAGCTTTTTAATGGCAAATGTACCAAGTAACTGGGTAATTTTACTAAGGTAGAGGTAAAAAGTAAAGGTAGATAGTAGTGGTGAGATTAAAGTAAAAGGTAAGGTAAAGATAAAAGCCCATACTTTAAACCTTAACCTTTTACATTATCCTGCATAGGCTTAGTCCCAATAAGCACTTTAGTTTCAGATGGGGTCCTATCAAGTAAATATCTCATAAAAAGAGTGATTAGGGATGAAATTTAATACAATCAAGACATAAATCTTCTTAAATGCAATAAAAAATGACTTTGATGATTGGAATGGGTTATGATTGGCATATTCATGGTAATAGAACTTTGTCTCATCCAACACAATCTTACTCCTCAATATCAAATGAGTAAATAGCAAAAGTTTTTAAAAATTAATTTAGTTTGTTGTTGTGAGTATATATCGTCTTAAAACCAGATATGACAAAGAGGTAAAATTATGAAGGCAAAAAGAGTAACTCACTTGAACCCAGTAGCTTGAATGTTGAATTTAAAAGCAATGATTGGAAAGATACAGGTGCACTCTTCGCTCACGCCCATTTTGATTATTTGATATTATAATTTGATAAACTTATTTGATATTCATTTTCTACGTGTCAAGGTATCAATGTGGGATTATGCATGTAACGCATTTCTTGTCAAGATTTTCACCGAACTAAATAATTAAATGAATCATTCAGAACGCATGGTTTAAACTTAGCGCTCGTGATTACAATTTGGGGCTCGGGCCGCAAGAAGATTGAAACATAATGAAATGATCACATTGTTGCCAAGATGATTTCCAAGGGTTTAGGGCGAAAGTGACAATGCACTTGACAGAACGAATTTGGCTACCAAGGGTGGTGTCAAATCAGAAGCCTTTCGGTTCATTCGATAGGACAAATGATCGGCAAATTTCCGGTCGATTGGAGCCAAAATTGCCATCAGAAGTGCTGGAGTACGGGAAGAAGAGCCATCATTGCTCCCATTGGAAAGCACGACCTCTGAACCGATCGATGCGAGTCATGAACGAGCGAGCGAGTGGTTTGCTGCCGAGGGCCTCGTGGAGCGCTTCGGACGAGGACTGGCGTCATGAGTAGAGCTCGTGGTCGGCGGTCACGCCTTCCAGCCCCGAGAGGGTCCGACTTCAATGCTCTCTCTCTCTCTCTCCCTCTCCCTCTCTCTGATGGCAACGTTGCAAGTGTGACATGCGTTCTTCGATCTGATCCTCGACTCACTCTCGATCTCGAAGAGGGGAGTGACATGAGTGATCAGAATCTCACGGCGTCTGACCTTAACCCCAACGAAGTGGTTGGACTATCACGAAGGCATTGCCTGAAGGGGTTAGTGAGGAAACCCTACCCACCCACTGAAAGGGATTGGGGGCTAGATTCGCAAAGTCACCGGATATGGACGATTCGGCCGCAAACGAATAGATGCATCTTTCCTTCCTGCAATCGAGATTTTCTGCGATTGGTCTATGAGATTGCCCTCTCTCGTTACCTTTCATGACTTAAGGATTAAAAGAACAGAATCGGAATGATCACCAATTTTTAGGTCCAGCAATTTTTAAGTTGGAAAGAGCATCTTCTTCTCCGGCAGTGTTGTTCTTCGACTCCGGGAATGATTAGCCCCGTTGCAGTTCTTGGGCATGCAGAAATTAACAGGTTGGCACAGTTCTATCGGTCGAGGTGTTTTTTTGACGGGAGCAGACCCTAAGAACTTAACGGAGAACAAAGTGAGAGAGATACTGTCAGGCGCACATGATGGAAGAAGAAATTTACCGCAGGTTTCGGGCCTAACCATGCATTCTCTAATGTTGTGAAACGCACACGCTGATGAGTGAGTGAACTAATGTACAGAAAGGCAACACAACGATAAGGTTTGCAAATGTGTGCTGTTTCTTCAAAAAGATACTGATTCCTTGCTTCTTTATAGCTTTCACCCGAGCCTCAGCATCGTAAGATCTCTCGGAACCGATTTCATGGTCGAGTCCATCGGCTTGTGCTATTATTGGAGTCCAGATCGTTGCGGCTAGCCGCAACGATGAGATGGGTGACCGAATGTTGCGAGCAAATAATAGTTCCCAACAATCCACATGCCATGCAGAAAAAGGACAGTCGAGTGCCTGCCAAACTGACTCGAAGGGCGGAAAGAATCACTTCGTTCAGAATATTTCTTCATTCAAAGGATTCATAAATCTTACATTGCAGGCCATAAAGCTTCGCTCCGGTTCGACACACCAGAAACGATCAAGAAACCAGAATGGAAGACCGACTAGAGGTGCAAGATTGCCTCTACATCGGGACGGTTCGTCCGATGGAGAATTTTGACTACGCTTTCCACGTACTGTACAGATCACAGAGCTCGGTGACATCGATCCGAATGGACACAGAGAGAGGGAGAGAGAGAGAGAGTGCAGAGTGTTCCATTCGTGCTAAGCACGCACGCGGTGCTTGCGTGCGGCAGCCCGTGACCTCGACTCGCATCGGAGGTAGGGGGCCCAGCCGTCATCATTGCAATCGTGGAGGCAAAGCTCCTGCTGCTGCGACAATCGTTGGGAGATCTGCAACATTGACAGCGATCGATCTCTACAAGGGCCCCCCTCCCGCCACCGATGGGCCGATCTACCCTACCCGTCGTCGACTATCGACGAAAAGTGTCGGAGATGCTTTACATGATGATGGGGATGAATCCTAAAACTAAATCTACACTGCTATGCACAGACGAACATCCTACCTAGGCAGAAGTCTGGAGCTTCAGGGCCTCCTTCTGCAGGCGGCAGTAGCGCCGGCTGATCTCGAGCTCCTTCTCCTGCAGAGAAAGCTCTTCGAGGATGAGCTCCTGTCGCCGCCGCGCGAGCTTCATCCTCGCCGGGCTGATCAGCTGATTCCGCACCTCGTCCAGTTGCTGCATGCAATCGTTGCGCAGGTCTTGCACGTACTGGAAGAGCTCGGCCTTGAGCGCCTCGACGGCCTCGTCCTCCGTTCTGGCCCGCCCTTTCTCCCCATTCGGCACGGGGGTCTTGCCCGCCTCCTTTCTCGCCATGCCTCCCGACAGCTTCGAGATCAGCTTCCCCGCCGCTTTGGGCTTGCTGCCATCTTTGCCGGGGGACGACGTCTTGCGCAGTTCCTCGGCCGAGACGCCAATCGCCTCCACCCGCGAGCCGGGGTTCGACGACGGCACAGCGCGCTTCTTCTCCGGGGAGCCTTCATCGTCGTCCTCCTCCTCCTCCTCCTCCTCCTCCTCGTCGCCCTCGCTCTCGGAGGTCTGCTCCATGGGGGCGGCGGGTGGAGCAGCAGCGGCGCCGGGAGCAGGAGCCGTAGGGCCGGGCTTGCGGATGGCATTCGCTGCAGGCGGGATCATTTCCTCGTCGTGATCGTCGTCCTCCTCGCTCGAGGACGAGTCCGAGACTTGCACGACCTTCACAGCATTGCCGTTCGTGGCCTTCTGCTGCGGCTGCTGGTGGTGGGCATGCTGCTGCTGGTTCGCCGACTTCTGCTTGGGGTCGCTGGCTCTCGCAGCGCTGCCATCGCTGCCATCTAGGAAAATCTTCTCCCAGTACTCAAAGAGCGTGCGCTCGTGAGGGTTTCTCCAGTTCGCTTTCTTCTCTTCGAGCAAGTGCTTGCTCTCATTAAATTTGTGCTGCATACGGCGCACTTTGTCGTAGAGGCGCCGCTGCGTGACGCCGCCCTCGCCGGGGTAGAGAATGGTAATCAATTCCGTCCAGTAAGTGGCGGTCTTGGACTGCAGAGGAATCACGCGCCCCTCCTTGCGGTGGTCGAGCAGCACCTTCACCAGGTCCATCTCCTCGCCGGCCGACCAATTCTTCCTGTCGCGGCCGGGAGTATTGTCGATGAGGCCGGGCGATTTCATCGACTTGTCGCCCTCGTTCAGTTTGCGCTTCGACTTGATCACGAGAGGCGAGGTCGGGGCGTCGGCCGCCGAAGCCCGCTGCCCTTGCTGCTGCTGCTGCCCTCTCATCCTCGTCTCGCTCTGCTCTTGTATTCGGCCCATGCAGTTTTCTCGAGGAAAAGCGCCGACCTCGCGACGATGACGACTGTCGACGACGACCCTCGAAATCGCACTCCGCACTCCGCCTCGCTCTCGGCTCTCGCTCTTGCTCGTTCGCTCTCGTACGCTCTCGGTGCTTCGCTCGGGGGCAGGGAGACGCAATGGGCTGGCGCTGGGTGGTGCGAGGGAGCTAAGGTCGTGGAGGGCGAGGTCGTGGGGGGTGAAGGGGGCGAGGCTAAAGAGGCGCTGCACCCGTTCGTCCGGATCCACTCCTTTGGACACAGCCGTTGGCGCCGGCGATCAGCGGACTCATCTGACGCTTGCCGGCCCTGGGGACCGAACTTGAGCCCCACGCCCGGCGCCTCCCTCCGGGTTTCGGCCTTGGTCTTCGCCCGGGGTCCAATTGCCCCTGCGCACCTGCGCCTCGGGCCGCCCCGCCCCCGCCCTTCCTCCCGCCCACGCACTAGCACAATCCGTCGACGGGTTTCGCTGATGGGACCCAACAGGTTTCATTTTACCCGACGGGACCCCGTCGACGGCACTCCAGCCCCGCCGTCAGTGATGTTCCAATGCTATCTCGTTATTTCGTTTAGAAAGATGAAGTCACGGTTCAGACTCATGGCGCCCATCGTTTTCTTAGACATGGCTGCGAAGGAGTCGCCAAATTACTCTGGCCCCACAGTGGCGGACACTCTCCACTCTAAAAGCCTCGCAAGATGGATAGTGATTTCGGAACAGCATCTTGAAGAAGACGAAAAAGGAATCGACTACCTAGGTTTGCAAATTGCCAAACATCAGGATTTTAATATAATTTGTAGGTATCATATGAACTACATTGTAAGCATTCGAGACGAAGCTAGAGTTTAGAGATTAGACCGGGTTGATGATTTCGGTACAATGCCATGAGCACCTGGAGCACATAGTCTACATTTAGAATGAGAGACTTATGAGACTCTTTGTTTTAGAGATTTATAATCGGCACTTGCTGGACTCTTTCTATAACACATCCCCAATTGAAGTATGCTGAGTTTTCACCTCTTGAAGAGTATAGCGTGAGCTAATCTTTATATTTTCAGAGAAAGAGCCCCCTACTAGATAAAATATCTCTTTTGCTGATTGAGATTGTGCTTTTCCTTTAAGCAAAGCAACATATGTATGTGGATGCAAATTTGCAGAATGCAAGCAATGTTTTGCTCTCGAGTTGTACCCATATATGCATCAACTACACCAGAATCTTGGCGAGACAACACTTAGTATCGTCCATACTTTTTTATCTGTCTCCATAATAGAATACCGATAATGGATAACATAATTCAAGACGATTTTCCTTTTTCTAGAGTTTACAAACTTGATGAGACGCTGAAATCAATGAGATTTTCGAATCGACATCGGCACTTGTGCTCTTCAGCTATAATTGCCTAAATTATACGGAGAGTTTTCACTTTTCTGTGGAAAATGACACATGTACACTTACACATTCAATCTACTTGAAAGTCGGAATTGGTATAACAATTGGCAATTACAATTTATTAGGAATATCATTCCCAATATTGCTGCTTGTAACAGGCATGTATTCGAGCTCGGCCTAGAGCCTCTCAAGATGGATAGTGATTTCGGAACAGCATCTTGAAGAAGACGAAAAAGGAATCTACTACCTAGGTTTGCAAATTGCCAAACATCAGAATTCTCCTTCCAGAGAATTCTACACTAAGCGAGAGCTCAGTTTAGAAAAGACAGTCACGAGCTGGTTAATGCTAGTGCTCTGCGGAATCTTTCCGCAGAGCAAATAATGCTGAAATACTTTCTTAAAATCGGACTTGTTGATAACAACCAAGCTCGTAGAAACTATCTCGAAGTGGCGGACACTCTCCACTCTATAGAGCAAATCAGTAGGTTATAAGAACATGGCTGACGGTGGCCGCCGAATGGGGTCCGTCGGGTAAATTGAAATCTGTTGGGTCCTTTCAAGAGGATTAAGTTTCCAAGGGGTAATTTCCTCGGTTTCGGGTTTGGATGGTTCTGGACGCAGCGGGCGGGCCAGCGGGCGGGTGGACGGACGGACGGAGGAAGGGGGAGGGACTCCGCGCGTGCCTGATGATCCGATTTTCCGGGCTTGCCCCCGATGATCCTCGCCCGCGGGCGGTCAGCCGATCTCGTGTTGGCGCCTGCCGCAAAGCTCACTTTGGCACGCTTCGTGGCTGGTGGTGGGGGTTCTTCCTAGCCCGGCGCAAATTCTAGGGCGCAGGAGGTTCTTTCGGCATGGCCAGTCGGTTGGTACACAGTTCTTTCAAGGCGAGAATCTCGCCCAGCCCCCCTCGAGGGTGGGGGTAGAGAGAAGGGGGAGGGGGAGGGGGGAAGGGGTGAGGTGGCTGTCTCCGACTAGCCATCGCTCGGCTTCGAGGCAGAGAGTGCTGTTGCAGCGTTGCAGGGGGGGTCAGTTAGCGCTAGAGTGGGGGTGGGGATGGGGATGGGGGATGGGGGCAGAGGGGTGGGGGGTTTAGGGAGTGAGGCTGGTGGGAGGAGGAGCAGGAGCCTGGGGAAAGAGTATCCGGGCACACTACAGATCGTCGATGGACGAGTGAGGTGACAGGGTCCGGAGTGTTCAGGGTCTGGAGCGGCAAGTAATGGCTTGCACAATTTCTGACTTGCGATAAGGAGATTATTCTCCAATTTGGCTGGTGCCACCGCCAAAAGCAACATTAGCCCAGGAGTGTAGATGGCGCTAAGTGCTGGTTGGGCATCGACGGTGCATCGAGCTTTGGGATGGAGGAGAGTCGCCGGCGGCCGGAACCGCCCACGAAGCCGAGGCCCTCCCTCCCTCCCTCGAGAGAAGCGCTCGCTTGGGCCACTCGAGCCGAGCTGGAGCTTCGCTGCCCCCGGTGCGCGTCAAGGGCAAGGCTTGCGCTCATGAGTGGCCCCAGGCGGCAGAATCCTCCACCATGAAGTACCCGCCCGGATGCCGGTTGCCCCACTTGCCCGTAGGTCTGCCCCGGTAACTGGTCAACCGAAGAAACACGCAGTCTGTCCCTGGACCACCACCACCAGCACGGTCAGGTCAAGGGACGTCCCGATCCACTCACAGATGCTCCCTCTCTGCGACTCCCGGGCCCCCGCTGCCCCCCTTCCACCCTCTGGATTAGCGTATTGCACCCCTGCAAGTTCCAGGGGACCATTACCGGTTGCGCCCCTAAACGGGTGCTTAGCAGCTTCAGGGTAATGCGGCGGTAAATTAAGCACCACCGCAGCGGATGGGGTTCACGCGCGAGCCCCATCTCGAGCGGGGTCCTGCACAGCTCACTAATGCGGGGAGCTGCTTAAACCATGGACTAAAAGCCAAGGCCATGTGGGGTACCGGCGCTCGCCGGGAAGAGCCCCGAGTGGTCCCGCATACGGAGCGTAGGGTTCCAGGGCTCCGCGGGAATACCGGATGCCCTACTCGCCGCATGCTCCCCGGCCCCGTCCTCGTACTCGTCCTCGTAGGCAAAAGTGGGCAGCGCCGTTCTCGCCACTACGTCGCCCCTCGCGGGGACCTACACGAGCGCGTAACTCGTGGCGCTCAATCATTGCGCCTGCCTCGGCGCTTGCGTTCAGGCGCTGGACGGCCCTCCGCGCTCCTCAGACGTGGCGCCAAAGTCTCGCGCGCGCTCAGACCGGCGCTCACCTCTCATGGCGCTCCGGTCTCGGACCTCATCATCACCGCCGTACGGCGCTTACGTCATCGGCAAGACTCGGGCCCCGTCACAGAGCCCCCATGCCCACTGTACCCAGCAGCGCCATATCACGTGGTCAAAGGGCCAAGAATCCCTCCCCCATCCTTACCCCCCCCCCCTTTCCCCCTAACCCCCAGCGGGGCTTGTCCACCTTTCGTAACCTTCCGGCGCTAATGTCTGGGAGTTGTTCGCGTCGTGTCGGCTCACTAACAAACGCGAAACAGCCGCGGGCAAGCGAAAGCGGGGGCTAGGAGGTCGTGTAACGTCAGAACGCCGGGCGGCTGGTGGGGCGACGGGGCTTCTTGATGTAGACGTTGGGCGGCCAATACTCTCGGAGGCTTGTTGTCCGATGCCTCGTGCCCACCATCATCGATTCGGCAGACGCCCTGTGAAAGCAACGAAGAGCGCATGGGCGCATCTCACAGAGCAATCGCGTACGCAGAAACAATGCTTTCCTTTGCACGACGACTACCAGCTAATTTCAGGCATCGAGAAATGGACATGTCGAGAGGGAGCATTCAATTTGAGAAACTTGCAGCAACATACACAATCTGTACCGTCAAAAGTAGGATATTCGAAACCATTTGTGAGTAGTCTCCAATCATGAAAATGAAACCAACCACGAGATTCATCCTCATGTTCGGTGATCTTAAGGCATAATAAGCAGGCAGAATCAGCCTGGAAAAATTAATCGACGTATGGCATTGTCTGGAGAGCCAAGTGGGGACTGTAGGGCTAGATCGCCCTATATCAAGGCAGGACTTCCCTCAAATTTAACAGCTTTTGCTATACCCTTCATATTCCGTATGTCACGAGTTCACATTGATAAAAGTGGGCTTGGATCCACGAGAGAACTGCACCACATGGAGGAACAGACGGATAACCATCTTTCTCAGAACAATCTCCCTTCCTAACACCTCAGGTTATACCGGGACCTTCTCAGTCGTATATACATAGTTAAATGCAAAACGGCATCCATAAATAGAGCATATACTAATGCGGCGTCCCTGATCAGCTCTAGTCAGACTATCTCAGCTGGGAAAAGCCTTCAAGCCGTCAGCTATTTTCGGCGAGTTGGGACCTCCTCACTCCCCAGAAAGCTTTAGGTCGCAAGTCTTTCTTGACAGCTGTAAAGCGCCAGCCCATATGAAGTTCACACTGACTGCAGTAAGCTATCGTCCACGCATATCTGCAATCCACGAAAATAAAGTTCACTGAGTTGAAGGCGGGGTTCCATACTCATTACCCTAAACTGCTAGACCTCCTACAAGACAACATCCTTGTAATGGATAATGGACTTTCCCCTTCACCTATGGAGCATATGAGATGTCGTGATGTAATCTCTCAACGACACAAATGAAGCCTATCAATTCGATTTAACTCAACAGACTCGAGATTACTGAAACCTAAGCCTGTAGCACGCTTTTAACTACAGAGACCAGGACAATGAATTGTGGAACCCGAAGGGGAGAAATAACAAAACTACTATATAGACGCAAAGAGAGCACAATAGAGGTCATGTTTTTCAGGTAACCGTCAAAACAGGAGTCGTAAACTGCTATATCGACGTAAATCTAAGTCGGAAAATGCAGATAACACGATCAGCTATGAACTTGCCAGTAGCTGAACCTTCAGCAAATGAAATTATGGTGGAGGTATAAGATAGCACGAATACTATCGAGCCGTGTGAAGGTATATATTTGAACCCTGCTGCTGATCAGTGCATTCTTATGCCGGCGCTGAAACAGAAGAGCATAGGTTGGCACACCCTAAACACTAGACCCATTGTGGAAAGTTGCGTTGCAGGTATGGTGAGGCTAAGCGAAAACCCTTGACTTATTTACCTCTCTGTGAATAAGTCAAGGGACATTTGTGACGATATAAAAGACGATGCTTTAGTTGACATCGGTGTTAAAATATGAAAATTCGTTCGCGAAAGCCAGGGAAGAGTAGGGCATACCCGGGAAACCAGCTGTTAGTAGTATCCGGGCGCCCCCTTAGCATGAGACCCCAAGCTCGAGAAAGAGTGAGCGTCTCCTGTACATAACCTTCGGCATTGACGTACGCACTTATGGGTCCGTCTGCTGACATAACCAACATATTACTTCTCCTCGCTATGAAAGCCTGTACCATGTTGAAACTTGGCGTCAGACAGCTGCAATAAAAGCCTGGAATGAACCTCCACGTAAATAAACTACCTGTAAGTTCTGCTCCCTCGGTTACAAAATCTGCCATGGACGCTGCCAAAAATTCAGCTTCTTCTTTACTCATCAGAACTATCGTATAATATGACTAAAGGAAGTACCTACAGAGCAAGTTTTGCATCGAAGCCGATCCATCGACTCCAAGAGTTGTATTTCCCTTCTTAAGCGGTGAACTACACCATCCACCTCCAAGAGCTCTTGCCGGGTGGAGTCATGCAATGGCATGTTACTCGCAATATAGAAGGACAACATTGCAGGGCTCCGTACCATCTCTTCCATTCTTGGCAGCTCAGCCATTTGCCGTAACATATCTGATCAGAACACACACGCAAAAGCCTCAGTCACATTTTCACAGCATAAGGTTTAAATTTTCCAAATCGATGACCTCATGAGGACAATAGACAAATACAGTACATACTTCACCTTAAATCTATCCTTTGACAAGCTCTGATCCTAGAATGGTCTCCCCTCAACTATGTGATGTTCTGTAGGTGCCGAACGCAGATCAATCTCCAGTACATTTCCACAAAAGTTGAAGTTGAACTCTGAAAGATACACAGGGAAGGGCTATGGTATGTAAAAATTACCGGCAGCTCTACGTGCGAGATCGTACGCATCATACATCCTATACACCCAATGAGGCCAAGTTGTTCTCTGAGCCCTGTGGAGCCACTTGCTTTCGTCTGCCGCCCATGCCTTGCAAGCCCCTCCCCAAGCGCCGTCAAGCTTGGGTCTCTTATTACCTTGAGCACCTCCATTACCAGTGACAGATGTCTCGCCTTGGTCCGCTGGTTCGCTTGAGCTCTCCACCTCCTGACCAGTCCTGTCCTCTCTCCGGGGCTCCCTGTCCCTGTGCTGTCTTCGAACAGGCCTTCTCCTATCACCTCTGCTGCGAAGCCGCCACCACCATCTTAGTCTTTCCTCCTCTTCACTACTTTCATCTTCTCCTGCGCCTCGATCTACAACCCTTTGCCAAGGATCATTACTCTCACCACCAAAATGACCGAATGCTGGAAGCGCTCGCTCGTCTCGCCCGGAATCAGAATCATCCTCATCGAAGAAATCACCCTCGCTACTGACTTGCTGACCGGCGTCCTCGTCACTGCCCTCTTGGACTTCCACTGTTGCTCGCGGAACTCTTCCGCTTTGCATGTGCGGGACTGAAGCTAAAGTTCCAAATGCATCTCTAGGTATATGCAGTGGTGTATCTTCTTCAATAATTTGAACTTGTGCACACGGCTGGAATCACAGAAAATACAAAGACAAAATGAGTACAACCTAGTACGAGTTCCATCTCTATTTATCATTTTTGGCTAGGTTTTCTCTGTTGGTCTTTCGGACACTTACACGGTAGACAAGGGTTGAAGACTCGAAGAAATAATGCAACGGGGCACACGATAATAATTCAAATATGATCAGATCTGAGGGTTCATTGTACAGGAAAACAGATGTAAGGCGTATAGAATCCTTACAGCACCATCTGCTTCTGTCCATGCTTTGCGTATGCGGAACCGCTGTCGACCACGTGTGACAACATTCATAGATCCATCGCTTAGGCGACGCAGCTGACGTATCTGCAAGATCCAAGCAGAACATTGCAGTCGTCATTTTTTCGAATTAGCATGTTCGAAACCCATTCAACCTTCACGGCCAAGTTCCTCTCCTGTCTTTATCTGCTGGAGGAATAGTGATATTCTCGCCTGGAACCAGGGAAAAAACTTGAACATACCTCTTGTAAATAATTCATAGTTTAGTGCAAAATCGACAATACTAGAGCAGGAGATAAAGCTTACCCCGTGAAGTGTAAAGAGCATAGTACATAAGAGAATTCAAGAGATGAGGTTTCCAGAAGTGAATAATATTGTAGATCCTTCATTTCAATCTTCTTACATGTCCTGTTTTCCAATATTAGCAAACCCACCACCATTTCATCCAAGCAACTAAAATTCGCTTATTAACAGGAATACGTCCTACAATTAAGCCCATCACGACAAAGGTGATGCTTCTCCGCGCATGCTTGTGAGGTCTAACGTCAGAACTGGGTCTATTCTACGAAAATTTAATACTTAGCACATAAGGTACTGATTGGTGTTATGTTGAATATAAGCTGATACGATAAAATCTTGCTCAAGAGCTTACACTCTGCTGTTGAAACTGGTTATTTCGTTTAAGCTAAGCTCGTGTACTAATTTATAGCCTAGAGTCGATATCGAAGCCACGTTCAGGAATATGAAAATGAAAATTTGGTTTTCCATTATACAACAGCAAATGAGGTCGAACCTTCATAAACACCCACTCTCGTTAATAACGAGGTAAGTTCCTCTGTTCGCTATATTCCCAATCGTCTATGTCACCATCTAGCACCAAAATCTGGATACGGCAAGAACCTCAAGGCTTCAGCAGGCACCTTGCTATTACACTGACAGACATTATAGATATCAATCATTGCTGAATCAGGTGTCACAAACAAACCTCTGCTGTTGTTCCCACAGATGCCATGTGCACGCCACTCCCTCGCATCCTGGCTCTCACGTGAATCTGTTTGAGCATATATTTCATACTTAGTCAACACGCAGCCTTCCAAGACGGAAAAGTCCATAGATGTAGATATACACCATCAAAAGCTGCTTGATAATAAAGGGGACTTGAGCAGTACGCGACTACATAGTTCTATCATGCTAAGCCACCAAAAACTAGGAGAAACTACAATTCTGGTAAAAAAGCACTTTCACCTTTTGCAGACTACCAAGTCTTGAATTGATCGACAAAAATCAAGGACTTACTGATTTGCATTCGTTATTGACATGTGATTTCATCAATGCAGTCTTCATGAGATTACATAATAAGGGAATGTGTTGCGCACACAGTCTACAAGAAAACCCTGAGACAAGAAGAAAAAAGTTTTGATATAGCATGTTACCATACCACTCCAAGAGTGCACGGGGCATCAGTCTGTCGCATAGCGCGCTCAACAGCTGCCTTGAAGCGAGGCTGCAACACTCGTAAAGGCAGCGTGTCTTCCGGGAAGAGTACAATCCCTGTAGAGGTTATTCAATGACGTCAGCAACATCAGAGGAGATTACTCATGGACAAAAAGTGGGGATGAAAGCAACAGATTTCGTATCATAGATCTGGATCGATAAGGATGTTTTGAACGTTATCACCTTCCAGATAGAACATCGGCAGGGTCAAAAGTGCTCCGCCATTCAGGAAGGATCTGGCCTGACCGACATCATCCACTTCTGCAAGATCACTCATAAAACATACATGTGAGAAAAGTCGTCGTGAGAAAGCTAAACTTGATGACTCAAAGGGATCTCGGCCTTTCGTAATGCCAATCTGGAGCCGCTTCATTTTGAAGCGATCACGAGGTCAGGACAAAAGACCAAATAGCTCGACAGTTCATAAGATACATTCAGAACGAAACTTCATAACGCCCTTTTCCTAAATAGACTCACCGCCGAGGTATGTGTGCAGAGAAGCTAGGGAGGTGTCGAAGGTAAACCCACCACGCGCTCCAGCTCCCCCGTCGCCCCGTCCATCCAAGCTGCACATAAATTTGAGCCCAGGAATTTGATCCGGCATTACAATACATATCTACATCAAGCAGACTTTGACTTCCCTGACAAGCTCGTCAGTTTCCACTTCACGCAGTATTGCTCTACACAATGAAATATCGAAGAAAAGGCTTGAGCTTTGAGAAACTCCCTTGTAGGTTACTTCTCTCAGTAGAAGAGTCTATTTGTTACATTCTTCACCACGTCTTGTGAACCTCGAAGTCCTTACGACTCTTACTGCCCTGAACGAAAATTAACTGAACACATTGTCCTGCCGTACAAGTCCGAGCAACTTTTCTACACCCGAAGTAGCCCAAGGCTGTCTCTTTGCTGGAAAAAAACTTTCCCGGACCTGACTGTGCTTCAAAAGCGAGGAAGCAGGGAGGCATACACAAGAGAACCTCCTATGAGAAGCGAAAATGTCCTGAAGTGACGGAGTACTTCAGAAGAACCTTCGAACATAGAATTAAACAACTGAAAAAAAACAGGATAAGGTGGAACCCAGAGGGTGTTTGGTGAAGTTTCACAAAGGCACCACCGTGATATCTTACCAAGACTTCACTAAAGGAGGCATGCTTCTCATCATGCCTTCACTTACAAACATTCTTGAATTTAAGGTTTTCACGTGCATCTTCCAATGCAATCAGAATATGCGTATTGGCATCAGACTGACGAAAAAGTGCAATCCAAGAAAACACATTCTAAAGAGTTCTGGGATTAAAGAGTATCTCAGTCCGTCCCTTTTGTACGAGACGATTACCGACGCCGTAAATACACTGTTAGTGACTGAAATGTAGGGTCTAAATTCTAAAGGGTCTAAATTCTCTATAATTCTAATATCAGGTATTCTACTGCGTTGGATATAGTGAGTCCTAGAGGAGTGCGTGGTGAGCAAGATGATATTGGTAACTCTGGTAGCAACATATCTTTGTTACGATTATCGTCAGTAACGCATGATAAGGCTGTGCAATGCACGTTTCATAAATAATGATGATTCCATGAATCTGAATCTTAATGGGGCTTTAAAAATAGTAGAAATAACAATTTTAAACTCCTTGGTGCTGAATCCACACAACAGTCAATCCATGAACCATAAGAACTAGACCAAACAACTGTCAACAGCAACATGCACAGCTTGTCGGAAACTCTTTCCCCACAAGGCCGACAGATTCACCACAATGAACAAGACGCATGCGACCCAACTTCCATCAAAACGGCCATGACATGACAAGAAACGAGTTTAGAGTCGAGCCAGACCAAACGAGATTTTCACTCGAGAAAAACCGAACGTTCAAGAAAGGACGACGGATCCGATGCATTGGCACCGAAGCCCAACCGCTAAGAGACTCACACCTAGAATCATCGCTCTGCAGATTATCCGCGTCAGAATCAACCTCTTCGACTTCGAGTTGCTCCAGGTCCAGCTCTCGAATCCTCTGCATTTGCATTCGCTCCGCACCCTCCGCCCTCCGCATTTCTCCCTCTCCCCGTCCTTCCCCACCATCCCCTGCCGTTCCTGCTCCCTCTCCCTCTCCCTCTACCTCTACCTCCTCCATCACCCATTCCTCCCCTCCTCCTCCTCCTCCTCTGGCATCCGCTGCTCCAAATTCTCGCCCTCGTGCATCCCCTGCCACCCTTGCGCCCTCCTCGTCCGCAGCAACGGAAACGGCAGCATCCGCAGATTGATTCTCGTTCATCTTCTCCCGCCCTCGTCCTCCCCAAGCGCTCCCTTCCGTTTCTTGCGCCACAGATTGTCACATTCGTGCGCTCGATTTTGGCGATGGTGCGCGAGCGCCTGGGACTCGCCGCGCCCTCTTTCTTTCTCGCTTCAACCTTCTCAATCCGTCCCCGCTACTGCTCCTGCTGCTGCTCTTCTTTCCTCGCTCGCTCGCTCGATCGATCGATGGCCCTCGTCCTCTTCTTCCTCAATGTTGGTGTATTCGCACGAGGCTCGCAGGGCGCGACGCGAGAGAGAGAGAGAGAGAGAACGAGGAGGGCGCCAGCCGCGCCACTGGAACCCGGGAGCGGGGTCGTCGTGGAATTCGCCCCAGCCTGACATGGCAGCGCCTCGCGGTGAGTCCTACATGTACATGTCAGAATGGGATAAAACTCGGCAGCCCTTGTCATTCTTGCGCTGACCTGGCCCTCCATGCTCTGTCTTTGTCTTTCCCGAGGCAACAGGTCTGTCGGAAGACGATCCCAAAAAGGACTGCTGACTGTTTCGCTGTCGTTCCGGCCCACGTGGCTCGGCCTTCGGTTTCGCTCTTCCTGGCTCCAAATCATGCCGCCGGTCCTACAGTCCTCGTGTACCTCGCAATTGTGGATTACGTGGTTCCCATTGTGCTTCCGATTTCATAATATATGCATCTGTCGACCATCTCCCTTTGTCCTCGTCTAAAATTTGTTTCTTGGCGGAAATAATAATTTCCTTCAGGTACCATCGCTGAGAACCTTAGACCTTGGACATTTCATCAGTATTTTCAAGAAAGCATGATTAATTAAGGACTTTCTAATTGTTCCCTTGCCGTTCCGTGTGACGACATGATTATTGTGGTGATCAATCGAAAGAGATGCGGAGAAATCTAAAGACTGAAATGTATACACAGAAGGGGAAAATTAAAAGTTGGCTTGGTCCCCATCATTGGGATGTTGCAATATTGGTAAACTAAAAGGCTTTTGAACACGCAGTAATATACCTCGTATTATTTCAAAAAGGATGGGGAGACGATTAGAGTCTGCATGTTCTCCGCTAAAGAAATACATGTGCATATTCTCGAGATTCAATATTTTCCCTCGCCTTAACTTTTTCCGAAAGCTTAAGCAACACCATTTATTTAGCTTTTTGAAGAAAAAACTTGTGTGAAGAAACAAACGAAAAAAGCCCAAAAAAAGATGACGAAAAATTATTATAAGAGAGGAGTTATAGCCTAGCCCAGCTCACTATCAATACATTTCTAGATGCTTGCTTGTGCTTTGTTTATAAATATTTTTTTAAAAATATAATCATTAATTACAATTTCGAAAGCGTTATAAATCCTAATCTACATGAAATGTGGTAATATGAAATAGCAGACAAAATATTTCGCTCAAATTTTTTTAATTAGCTGCTTGACATCAGCCGATATATTTTTACTTTAGTCAAAGATTATCCGTAAGACTCCTCTTGAAACAATGTCCAGAATCAGAGTGGGAACAGAAAAGAATAAGAAAAGTTGAACCAGTGCGGGGAGAACTTTGACCACGAGACGGTCTCCTGATGGGACCGAAGGACAATGATGACATGGATGACGATCTCATCTAGCGGCCGATCGAAGTGGGAGGAATCTTCAAATGTATCTCCCGTACAAAGTACAGGTCACGACGAGGTTGGGCCACAGCCTAACCACGGTAGCTGGGGCAGGTCGCAGTCGCAGTTCGGAACACTGCTCTTGTCCCCGGGACTCTGTCTGGGACTCTGGGAGCCCCTTCGATCTTCGTCATCGAGAAATTGGAGATCCGTCGTCTCGTCTCGTCTCGTCTCGGACTCATTTCGAATTTGTGAGTTTATGAAAAAAATTTGTGAGTTCCTGTGAGCTGCAAATCTCGAGCCATCATCTCGAGAGTGCATTTTGCGTGTCCCATTTTGCGTTCGTCGGAGCGATCCGATCGCAAGTCTGAAAACCTCGTCACTCTTGCGTGCTACTGAACAGCTCTCAGACCATGTCCAGATCTCTGCGGAATGCCGTCAAGAGGCATTCCGTATGGTCTCAGCCGTAAGTCTTTCTTAAAACCTATTTTGCATTTTGCACCGCGAGATCGACTTCGTTGAGTGACCCGAGTGACGAAGAGATTCTTCTCGTTGTGCAGTGACCGGATTGAATTTGCTTCCTCGATTGAGGATCTTGAAGGTTGGATTGATATACACGCTGTTGGTTGCAGGGGTTTAAGGACCAGATCGCTTGCGTTGGAGAAGCAAAAAGAAGTAGTGACTCCGGAAAGAATATCCCAGGTATGAAAATGATTTTCTTTTTCTCAACCCTATCGGAACTTGCTGATCCTTTTATTTTCGACGTATATATTTTCGAATTCGGATTGGTCAGAATGCGCTCTTTGTGAAGGACCATATTCTCGAGCCTACTCATTACTTAGCGAGGATCCTTGATTTTAGTGCAGACGTTGAAGGAGAAGAAGGGTGATGGGGGTTTGCACAATTTGATGAATGCCAAGGCTCTGACTGGCGAGCACAAGCTACTGTAAGTTGATCGTGAACTTATATATGTGATTGAATCATCATCCTGAATTTAAGTTTTTCCAACCCCTAAACCCTTGATTTTCCCTCGTTTTCCAGCAGAGCCGGTACGTCCGAGGAGTTGATGTCGAGAAATGTGCTTACCAAAGCACAGCAGGAGAGAAAGGTCTCCGTCGTATTTATTATCCATTTCGTTGGATCGTTACTGAACTGACTTGAGATTGCCGATATTAATGAGAATCGCAGAGATGTAATGGAGGTTGATTGAACTGCATGTTCACCATACTAGTCTTCGGAACCTCATAACGCTCATGTCTTTACGTATTCTTGACATAAGAATGATGTTACTTTTCAAGTAACATCATCCTTTTCTGCTCATAAATTTAGAAATTTGCAGCTAAATCGATCGAAGTCAAATAACATGCTGCACTTGTGTATCTCGAGCTTACTAATGGGAGCTTCTAGTCATGAAAGTACCGTCATATCTGACGTGAGAGTGCGTTTGGTTCTCAGATTTGGATGCCAGTACGAGGGAAAGCTTGCGAAAGGGCTGCCTTCATCTTGAAACCCGAAGGTATGCATCTGTTTTCAACTGGAGTATTAGGCATTGTTGAAGTAGCGAGGTATATCGACTACTGATATCATTTGCTTTATTGCATTTATTATTTTCTCATCACGAGGACCTTATATTTTGATCAGATTTAACGCGCCATGAATGTCACGAGAAATATTGTTTTTCTGTATGACGTCTGTGGTCATGCTATAAACTTTATGTTCGCCGTGCTGCAACAGCATTTGATAAGTCCACCGGAGGTTTGATGGTCGTGTTCTTTGTTTTGTTCTAGAGTGCAGGACACTGTCATTCTATCAAGGTCAGCACATACGGAAAAGTACCGTGAAGCAAGCAAGACTTTTAAACCAAATCAGATTCTCTAGTCCAGTTGCGAAGGGTCTCGCACCCTTGCTACCCTTTTCTGTGCGCCGTATCAGTTCGCAATCCGCCCTTGCTGCTAGAGAACAATCTGGACGACATGAGGTGAGTGTGTACGTTCCTGCTTTTTCACTGCTTCCTCTTGTAAATTCAAGAATTAAGAAAGCTTGACCTTTCGCTAGGTGTAGTGAAAGCTTTACAAGCTTTACAAACTTATCCGAAAGTAGTTTCGATTTAGTTTTCCATCCAGAAGTAGCCCGGAGAAAGAATTTGAAAATTTCATACAACTCACGCCGCTGCAGGGAGGTGCCAGGCTGAATCTGATTTGCTGATCATACGTTTGCAGAGATCGGAGAGTGGTATCACGACACAGGAAGATCCTTTCGACACGTTAACGGACAAGATTCCTGAACGACCAGTGAGTGTGGCAGAAGGTGCATCTTACAGTGTAGTCATCCTTGCTGGGTTGGCAGTTGCTGGAGCTGCTGCATACGCAGTCTTCAAGGAGCTTATCTTTGAACCTAAAGAGTACGAGCTTTTGCTTTTGAGAGTGATCCAGACTTCCAGTAGGCATGTGCGGTTGCACATATGGTTCATTTTGTGAAATACTTCCCCACTCTTACTAATTTTCGGGATAATTGGACGATGATCTTACACATTTACAGTCAATTTTATTCCACTTCTAGATGAATCTATCAGTGAAGTCTTATCAGGGTTGATGTTTTGCGTTAGAGTAACCTTGAGATTGTTCGGGATGGCGTGCAGGTACAAGGTTTTCGGGAAGGCTTTGGACAGGGTGAAGACAGATATGCAGGTGAGATATCAGCATGTGCAGTGCTCCTGTCAGGGTATTTAGATTCGTTGTGTTTAGCTTGTGTCTAGGCCAACACCAGATCAGTATACCTTGACTTTACCGTACCACTAACTAATTGGTCTGGTTGATGAAGATTGCTGGGCGTTTGGGGTCGCCTATATCCGGTTACGGTCAAGAGAGCCAAAATCGAGCGGCACGCCAGCGTATATCAAACCGAGCCTGGGTTGATGAAGATGGAGTTGAGCGTGTGGAGGTTTGTGAGCCACCATTCTTTTGCTTCTGCCGAACAAGTTTCAAACCTTTGCAGTGATAAACCGGTTTCGGGGCTCGCCCTCAGAATTTTTTTTCTCAAGTAAAGATCTCAGCTACATTCTTGACAGTCGATGGAATTTGTTTCACATTGCAGGTAATGTTTCACATTCGAGGGCCTGGAGGAGCAGGAAAAGTGTACTGTGAAATGTTCAAGGACCCTGAAGATAAGACTTGGAAGTACACTTATCTCATCGTGGATGTAACGAATCCAACTCCGAAACGGTTTTTGCTAGAGTCATATGTCCCAGAAGTGAAATTGAGCCCCGCATAGGGGCTCGCCAATTTTTTTGCATCTAATCGATATTCCGGCATGAGTGACCTTCCATAAGGTCAAATGCCCACTTGAGCCTACTTTACAAGTTTCGAGACCATATGAGGGTGTTCCATGAATACGGCCAATTGCTGCCCACATCACTTCTTATGTCCAGAGACTTTTTCCCACGGTCTTTGTATGGTCCGAGTCCAGGTGCTCAGTAAATATTATTATGGATTGCGGCTTGATAGTCATATGTATTGGTCGCACTTCTCAAGCTGCGTCAAAGTCTCTAGAATATATCGACTTCATGAAAGTCGGATATTCCGTTGTCGGAAAATTGGTGTAGTCTTGGATTTCTGGGCGCACTGTATTTAACAAGTGTAAAGCTGCACACTGGGACTTTAAGGCTGAAAATTCTTCCACACTTTTTCCTTCACTTTTCTCTTCTAGAGTACGTCTCATGTTCATGAGTCTAGGCCGATGAGGAACAGGATACCTTCGTTTTTCACAAGTAAACCCCCGGACGATATTTTGAAAGTCAAACCCTGTGGGCGTTCTTGAGCTACGCAACTTATAGAAGAGTTGATGCCTGAAGAGGACAAAACGTGTACTCTTCCCCTCATGCATACTTATAATCGAAACACCACTGCTCTTAACATCTCTTGCTCGGTGGATCAAAGGGTTTAGTGAAGAATGAGCTTCAAGGAAGAGATCTCCACTCTGATGTTGGAGGAGGAAATATTATATGCAGAACGCTTTATAAAGGACAGGTGTTATAACGGCACAGGATCCGAGAACATTCTCCGGGCTCAATCAGAACCCGATGTGATTGATGGGATCACGGGGAAGTCGGGTCTGACTACCAGCCCGACGCAGTCTTGATCGAGTCCGCCAATTTAGGTCCTTTCGTAAGAAGACAAGCTTATGTCGATCCATACAGAAGAATCACTTTTTTGTCAAATCGTGTTCTTTGTAAAGTGTATTTCATACTTACATGAAAGATTCAGTCTACCATTTCCCAAGCTTAGCCGACTTGGCATGTGTCCTCGACCTTCAAAGGTTCAATAGTAACGCAAGTAAAACACTATGCTTCACAAGTGGCCTCTTGTCACTAATAACGTATTTTTGAATGTTTCATAATTTTCACATTTTTAAATTGTTGAAATTGTTTTCTACCTACTTTAATGGCTTATTTGTAAAATTTACAGTTTGGGTTCAATTAGTACAAAGCGATTGACAGGAGTTATGTTTTGATACATCACGCAGCTTCATCTTACATGATAATCAAATTTCCCTCTCTTGGCAGATATCTCATTGATGCCAGACCTACTCCAAGTTCATCTACTACGTGGTCTAACGTCTCGCATTGTATACATATCGTAGCATTGTAATCTAGGCTTAGAATTTGTCAACTTGTTGCATCAAGCTTTTCAACTTGCGACTTCTTTCTCATATGTACCCGGTGCATGTATATGGTGACAAGAAAACACGTGATGTCACATCGTGATAAATACAATATAAATATTTCATTTTTATTTTCTATTTTTTCATTCGTGCAGGAGAGATGCACACCTTTGGTGTGAATAACTGAAACGAATGCCTAGTCTACATCCCTGCACAGTGAGGCTCATAGTGCAAGAAACTTCTAATTGATGGTAGTATTTGCCCCGTTTTTCACATAAGGAAAATTTATAGAGAAGTAACTTTTGTTAACGGGCCATCCATGTCATGAACAAGCAAAATTGAGATAGACGTTTTCGTTAGTCAAACATGCTGAATTCAAATCTGATACACCTAGATCTCTTGCAGCATTCACGAGCTGCATGAAACCAAAGGTGTCAGACCGAGTGTTCGTTGCTGTTGCAAGAGCAACGCCAAAGGGTGAAAAAAGCCGTTATTTGTTGGAGAATAATGTATTGCAAAATCAAGGGAAATATCAGTGACAGGGCAGAAGTTGGAATTGTGAAGACAATTAATGCTCTTTCACCAATCAGAATACTGTATTAGCAACAACATGCCGCAACGGCAGAGTCGGCTGCAGAAGGTGCCGAAGTCCATCGAACAGAAGTTCCAACTCTGCCCACAAGTTCGACCGGAATATTGCAGAGCGCTGTAAAGCCCTGCACTCTTTTACAGATTGCGTATTTTCCTTCTATCATTTTTGTTCTTACTTGAGTTAGTATTATTAAACATTTGACGGAAGTCAGATATACCTGGCAGCTCAACAGACAGGCTATTACTTGAATTCAGATAATACTTGGTGCTTGCAAACTGGAAAGCGGACTCTGAGAAACATGTTTGCAGCAAAACCTGCTGCAAAGATGTATTTGGTTAAGTTCGCTCGATTGAGACACACATAGAACTGATTAAACGGTTCCACTTTGCGAAGAGAATCGAGTCAATTTCCAGTAAAGTCCCGTGTCACCAGCAAAGGATCAATTGAATGCAATCCTAGTGGTGGGGCCAAAGGTCAGCTGTGAGATGTACTTATTCAACATGAAACTTATGACCTCTGCAGACCCTTATTCTGAGGTATGCACAGATAAGACCTCAGGATAAGGAATACACACAGCTATCTCTACAAGGCCCGTATCAAAATTGTGAGAAAGGTGGGATTGACATTTACAACAGGCATATGAACTTTCAATAGTCCTATCCTAGTAGTGATGGTAGTTTTCTCTTCAGGTAAAATCTTGATCATTGCGCTCCCGATGGAATTTATCTAGAAAAATGACTTACTGAGAAAGCCTTCCAAAACTGTTCTTTCATAAGGTGGACTATCTATCAGCCATTGCTTTTGCTGATGTTGCAGTGGACGCGAGTACCATCTCTGGAACAAAATCTGCAGCAATATTTAATAGTTAGAAGTTTGTTGTCCTACAACACGAGGAGTGAAGAGACCGACCCGCAGGTCGCGTCGTTGCGAATCACAATGACTGTGAGCTACAATATTTGAAAGAAGTGAACAAGGTTACAGAAGCACTGTAAAAGGTACATGTGAACATGCGCATCAACAGCTTGATAATCTCTGGTAAGAAGGAGAGGAACACCAACCTGCAAGAAAGTCCATTCTCTCCGCACAAGTAACATGTTCGGCTGCAAAGATAATCCATCAATACATATCATTTCAGTATTGAAGATTGGTATCACTCTAAGAGTGGCATTTACATTATGTGATTCAGATATCAATAAACCTTCATTGGATACTCTTGTTTATCAACCGTCCACGAACAGAAAATTAAAACGCCACAAACACAACATCAAAATCAGACTATCTTGGATCTTAAAGATATTTAAATAACAAATTAAAGCTCATCCTTCACGAACCTAGATGCAAGGTGGTCTCGTCTTACGATGAGATCACCTTTCATCCAGGTTAAGTCACCAGACTGAACTATCAAAATTTTAACTTTTAATTTAAGACAGCAATTCATAAGAAGTACCTAAATCTTTGTAGTGTAGGGTGGTCCTGTCCTCTTCTGTCATCTTTTCAAAAGCTTCCTCCACAAATTTCTCCAAGAAAAGCTCCTGTGATGTTGTCCAAATTCAGCAGCAACAAAACCAGAGTGGCCATAACTTCTAAGCAGAGCACCGACGACTGTCCTACATCACATATTTCGTGTCCAAAAACAGCTGCAACAGAACAAAGACATGGGCATCTCATGACTGAAACCTTGGAGGACTCAAAGATTCAAGGGTAACAGCTACTTCTAGGCAGCAAAAAAAATTGATGCCCTGATGGATAGCATTCATGAATTGCACGCAGTCTGCTACAACATGACCGTAAGCAATTCCAGTGCACCTTTCTAAGTGACAGAATAGTCACGATGACCCCATCCATCAGACCCTCACTAAAGAGAGAGCATTGAACATATAAAGGCTACCAAGAAGAAAATTGAATGATGTCATACGAAATCATACAAATTTGCCAGGTTCATGTGCACATTAGCACTGTTTTGATCAGTCCCCGCATATGAATTTCTGCTTCGTCTCCTGAGGTTGGTTCAGAGTCCAAAGAAATAGAAGTGATTTTTTATTAACTGTATCCATCTATGTTTAATTTAAAACAAAAACCTATATCCAGAATACATTAAAACCTGTAAGATCAAGTAGAGTGGATGAAAAATAAACAAATTACCCAATTAATTTCCCGTGACCAGAGTCTTATCATTCCACGCTCAGTGTACTGACAGAGCTTTCTCAGTCTATTCGCACGGCTCTTTTGGGCGGCAAGTCAAAGAAGGTGAAGGAATTTCATTGGACCTGACTGTTCATTCTGGGAAAAACTCCGGTCCAGGAATTTCCATTCAGATAAACATCAGCATTGAAATTGTCGTAAGTATATGATTTCAAAGAGCACATGACGTCCATGCCCGGTTGAGCCTTGCTTCCCAACTCAAAATTAAGCAAAAAGAGCACTAAAACAGCAGGATACCCCTCAATTTCCTAATTGCGCAAATAGGTTGAATGGGATGAAATTTCTCCTCTTCCAGAAAGGCAAAGCTTCCATGACGGCCAATATTTCCAGCGGCTGAAACGAATCTGGCTAAGACTTTCAAGAAACTGCATTCTCTCCAGAGCTCGGCAATTTCAGCGGCTGCTCTAACTTATGAGCTAAATCATTTACGTCTTGACGTGTTCTATACACTCGACAGCAACGAATACAGATACCGAGTGTGATCTCTGAATTGCGATTCATATATTGCACGATAAGAAGTATTTTGCTTTAATTCTTCGTTCATAATAACTACGTGAAAGCTTTCAAATGTCAGGCAGTTCAGCAGGCTGTTGATATCAAGTCCAGGTCTGAATGAACTTGAATGGCCAGCAATTTTCTCAGAGGATCAGGAATGGAAAACAAAAGCCAACTAAAAAAATTCAGAATCAACGATCTTAATCTTACCGCTGCTTTCGCAATGAGAAAACCGGCCTCAACGCCGACCCACTGCATATCCCCCTCGCTCTTCACCAACCGCCTCACTCTAGAAATGGGGAAAGCCAAGGCGTTGAGGGAGGCAGACTTGGACCGAGCCGAGTGCGTCTGGGACCGAACAGGGGACGGAGATGGGGAGTCATCTTGTGATTGAGAATCAACTTCTTCTTTCTCCTCGTCCATTTTCTCATCCTCTTCTGCATCCGATGATCTTCTCCCAGAATCGGACTCATCGCTGCTGCTCATATCAACTGACCTTCTGGAATCCTTGTGATGCAACCAAAACTATGTAGGTAGCTCAAAATGAGTATCCCCAGATTCAGTTCTGAGCTCCTCAATTCATGACGCACAAATTTGAAAAGGCCTGCAATCCGAATCCTCTGGGCAAATCCCACTTCGTGACGGGAGCAGCGCCGAGTCTGACTACACGTACACGAAACTAATTTCAGCGTTCTGCACTTCTTCTCCCTTTTCCTTTGTAGCCTTCAGAGTTTCCACGGTCAAAACCTGAAATTTTGAGAAGACCAGTGTGTGAACTCACAGATCTTGATCTGCATTCTTGATACGACCAGCTTGCAAAAAAATTGAAAATGTTGAAATAGAATGTGAAAATGCAGCAAGCAGAAAGAGAAAATACTTTGGATGGAAAGAACTGGAATTGTGTAAGTATGTTCTGCCACGTACGAGCTCAGGAATGGCCTCAAGGGTATAAATAGACTGATATTGCGGTGCTTATAATATGAAGCATCCACCTGATATCGAAAAAGAACGAAAGGCGAACCCTACCTATCGTAAACCCGCAGACAACCGACAAATCCTCCTTTCTCTTCTACACTTCCATGAGATATGAAGAGGGAAAATCTATTTCAAAACGTCGAAAACCATTACATTCAAAAGGGGTATTTCGAAAAGACGAAGCTTGGATCATCAGCAAGACTTTGGACAGAATCTTCAGCAAATGATCATGAGCAATGAGTGTGTCAATAGAATGGTTCTTCGATGTAGAGGGAAGAGTCTATAACGCTGATGAGCAAGGTTGTACTAGGTGAGCTCGATTTCACACTAAATCCATTATACTCGAAAGAGAAGAAACTGTTCGATTCCAACTCTTTCACTGTTCTTATTTCAAATTTGCACGATTTGTAAGTGATGGATGTTTTGTTTGTATTCTCAAAGTACACTCGTTGCTCCAGATCCAGTATTCCGGAGTCAACGCAATCTACATTCAAAATGCACAAATTGCGTGAATAACAACCTTTGACTCAATGCCCTTTTGGGCAATAGATCATGACTGTATCGTATCTTGGATGGATCTTTACTTGGACAGCATACCTTACATACTTCTTGCAGGACAACCGAGTATCATCCATTTTGCACTGATGAGCGTCTCTGGACCTCCAGTTGGTAGGTTTCTGTTCCGTTTGCCAAGAAACGGTTATGAAGAAAGTCTTCCTCCATCGGGATAACACAAAAAGGTGCAAAGGTGGAGTCACATGAAGAATATGACTTTGACAGCAGATTAAGATGTCATCTTCTGCACACGACCTTTGAACGTTGCAACATGTGGATCGATTTCTCGAAGAAACGACGAGAAGATCATCCCCGAAGCTTGTACTTGTTGTCATCCATAGACACCAACATGCTCGTTAGACATTGCAAATAGATACTTGATTCAACTCTGCATGGAGGAAAGAAGTGTGTTCACTTTCTTGTTCTCAATTTTGTCCCTCGCGAGAAGAGTAACAGAACGGATGACGAGATTTGTCTTCCATTCATTTGATTATGTGTGCCACGGCATTCTTGTAGGTGCACTATCAGGGCTAGCCTCTTTTTTCGTTCGTATTCTTCCTTGTGGAACTTCATGGGGTCTTCTCATAGGTTTTATATTCCAGTTGGTCCCCTTTCCCGTATTCCATACACCTTGGCTCTCAGATAGCGCAAAATTGTCAAATTGATTCTCACATAATATCTCAAGACTCATAGTTTAAAAGTACACTATGAAGAACACACAACTTGGAATGCTTCGAGTCCAGCTACATCCCGTCAACTAGTTGCACTGAACCCAGAGGACGGAAAAGACCGGATTACCACACATGGGTACAGAAACTAAGTCACAAGGACAGAAATTCGGGCGAAAGTCATTGAATGTTGCTTCGGTTTTCTGCAAATGCGAGAAAGCCAAGAACCAAATGCAGTAGTCATCGACGACAAGAGTATAGAAAGAGTTTTTTGTGTTGCCTGCCGGGTCAAGATTGGAGTAAAGAAATGGAAAAATATTCTAGGGTTTAATTCACTTGACTGATGAGTTGATAGTTCGCGGTGTTGGGAAGTGACGTGGGGACCGAAACGGGGCACAGCAGGAACACTCCACACTGTCCGCAGTTGGTGTAACATTGACTCACACTTGCAAGTCTTTCTCTGCGTTCCCAAGTTTTTCGAAGGTACAGGACAGCGCGTGGTGACAATGTCATGACCTGAATGTCGAAACCTCGTTTGCTTCGAAAAGTCCGACATCTTGGAGATTTCAACCACTTGACAAAGGAGCCGAGTGGCAACTGTACCATCCCCGAGGGAAATCCAGCACGTGAAAGTGTTCCGAACTGAGGGAACAGGTACTCTGCCTGAGAATAAATGCCTCCGCAGAAGAGATGGTGGTCGGCAGGAGCTTATGCTGAATCTGCCCAATCTGCAATCCCTCATTGGAAGAACCGAAGTACTGTACGATGTCACAGTCTGGCAGCATATGTACTCGAGCTCATGCGGCTGCTGAATCTGTTACAAACTCTACTACAATCCTCTTTCTACAAGTCCTACTGTCGTTCTTGAGCTGCCATGGAGTGGAGTCTTCACGAGTTGAGCACTCACGAGGGCCCCCGAGGCCTTCCAACTTCACTCTGGTGGGGTTGTTGGCTGCACTGAATCACTGTCAGTCAAACTGTACGACAGTGTATGTTAACAGGAAGGAGGATCCAGCTGGTCTCGTGTTCTTCCAACCGTTTTCCATGCAGCCTCCATAGCTCAGCCCCACCCTTGCCCTCCACTGCTACCTTCGGAGTACATCCCCAGGCGTCTGAAGAGAAACTGAACGACATACAGTACCGAGGCTGGAGAAAAGACACTGACAAAACCTGCTGCCCCTCTCCACGCTTATTGATCGATCGTGCCTTCCAAGGCGGCAGATTTCGCAGCGCGCAGCGGATAGACTGATCTGGGACCGGCAATGTCTTCTCCACATATATATATGGCCAAATATTCGCATGCGAGTGGAGATTGAAGTACAGTGAAATGTCCTCTAGTCTTTCTGTCTGTCTGTCATTGTAGCAGGTAAAAACTGTACCAACGGTGTGAACGTATGGATGGATTAGTGAAGTGCTAGTGAGGACTCTTTCGTGGCTTGAGCTACAAGTTATTGGAGTTGAAATCAGTTGGTTTCAAGTGTGAATGGTCGACTGCTGTGTTAGTCCTCACAGAATCTCCAGGAACGTCGAAGTTCGTGTTTTTTGTGATAAAGTGGACGTCCAGCAAGCAGTAGATGGCACATACCAGCTCATGTTCACGACATGCAGTTTTTACAAAACCGTGAGGAAAAGTTCGATACGAGCTTTGAGGTTACTCTTGGGGAACCTTCTGACGATGTAGCAGCATTTACAGCATACCACCAATTATCATAAGTTGCTTGCTGAGTCATGTCAAATTATGTCGCCCGCTTTCTCATCGTACAATCAGCAGATTACAGATATCAAATGGTCCTCCATACCTTTAGATTTCTTCATAGCTCTTCCTTACGAACAACAACAGAACTGGAGATGCATCTGGGTGCAGATCGGAAGGTCTCTCAACCGGTGGACGCAAATGGCAATACTTTCTTTAAAGTTCGGATCATGACCACAGGAGCCTTTTTGGTCTATATTCTCCACAGAACTTCACAGTTTTGGATGCTGTTTGAGGTTCCCAGACTGACCCTAACTTGCATCTACTTCTAGCGTGTAGGCTTGTTTCGATAATTCAGATGTCTTGTCCAGATCTTAATGTTTGCGGCTGGTCCTTACTTCATTTGTGCTCTCTGCAGCAATCTTATGCAACTTTCTAAACGTATAGAGATGCTGCACATTGTTCATAACTCCAATTTTCAAGCACTGACAAAGACAACACTCCGTATTTGTTTGACTGCTTACGGTGCTCTTGCCTGGATATTCTGTAGGTTTTACTTCAGATATATTGCGGCATCAGAGATTGAACTGTAAGCAATATGCAAGATCTGTATCACTTTTATTTACACTACCAACTTTCAAGACATTCATGAGTTTGGACACTGAGAAAGTGCAGATCAGCCTTCTCAAGTATGAAGCCATGTCCTCAACCTCACCCACCAACAGAATCTTCAGCTGCCAACCTGGGCTTTACTACATTGCATACCGAACTCTGACCACTGAATAAAAATTCCGTCTTCATTTAGCTCTCTCGAGTGCATCCTCATAATGACAACCTTCACAAGCAAATATATATTCCCACGAATCAGCCAAGCAACACGGGAACTCCCAGTTAAACGGAAAAGGGAACGCTATGGATCGCCATATGAATCTCAAGCATAGAGTTTGAAGTTAGCAAAGGCAGCAACAACTCAATGAAATGTTTTAAGAGAAACACAGTTGATGGTCATGAGGCCAACTTGTTTCCGAGGCTACGTCAGCTCTGCATCTGATATTCGACTTTCCTCGATTTTAACACTTACAAGTCACTTACTTCAGTAAGTTTCTTCATACTTCTGCATGAGTTTCTTCATTGGAGCATTCAAGGCACCACTCTGAATTTCTGACTCATGGAACATGTCTTTTAGGGAGAATGAAGCATATTTCCCACATGTTTTGACAGCACTCCACAACTTTTTCCTTAAGCCTTTGGTGTGTGGAATATCAGATTGTAAACCTGCGAAAGGATCACTTGCTGTGGTGAGCTGGAAGTACAGCTACAGAGCATCAACTGCTTTTCCAGACGAATAAAGAATAATCACCTCCTCATTGAGAGCTTAGTGCCAAAGCGAAAAACGGATAACTAGCAAGCAATAACCTCTCACTCACGCCCGAGATGTTGTGTTAGGGTTTGAACGTCGATTGTGCCTCAAGTGATTTCAATAGTATTTTGACTGCTGGCAAAAGATGTTAGAACCCACGCAGAACATGACAGAGACTGCAAATCTCAACCGTGTTTGTCCTCCAACATTTCACCTGCCCACTTCGTCCTCTGCTTATCGGCCCCATCCTCGACAGCTTAATGCTCCATAACGACACCATTTCACATAACGAGAACATCCATACGATAGAAGAAAATTAAAAGTAAACCCAAACTGCAAGGGAAAATCGACATTGGATTCCTCACATAAAAAGACCTACTTCCGGACAACAAGTAACAACCTTCAAAGGACAAGAGTTAAGAATGAGCAGACAGAAATGCGTTGGAGGAGTACACCCAATAAACAAGACATTCAAGGAACAAATCTCATTTCCTCGTTAAGGAGGAAATGATTTTGACACTTGTTTCCAAAACAATGACTTTCATATCAAGAGGGACAAACACGGCCAGATGGATTGGCCAATATGGTTCTCTTTGGAACAGGTCTTTCAAATTCTAGTGCCGACACAACTATCCATTCTCAACTGATTTCTTGTAAAATGCCCCTCCTATAAGTACCAAAGATTTTTCAGAGTCAAAATCGAGTACGATACGACCTACTTCTTCGATGATTTCCTCATCTTACCCTTCGAATCATTCTTCTTCCCTTTCTCCTCTCTCTTTCTCTTCCCGCCTGATACTTTCGGACCAGCTGAGACTCCACTTTTCTTCTGCAATGTTCTTGCTTTCTTCGCTGCAATTGCTGGCCTTTTGCCAAGCCCAGCTCTCTTGCCGCTTTTGTTAGCGGTAGAACTTCCCCCTCTTTCAGGCTTCTTCGGCGTCACTCCCTTGCGCTTTCCTGCTCTTGCTCCTTCATAAGATGCAGGGGCTTTCTTGGTCAGGCGCTGTTCTGCTCCAGGTTTTGGTCTCAGTCCTGAACGCTCTTCCGTGTCTCGCTTTGCACGTGGCTTTTCAACCGCTTTTTTCGATCCCAAGCGCTCAAGACGGAGAGGTCGATTCTTCAGCAAAGTGAAGTCTCTTTTATCAAGGGCCGACTCGGCGCCCATCTACACACATACGACGATAGCATCAGTCATGGACAGAGCTTCACCGCGGTGGAATGGACCTAGGACTCTTCAACGATCAGAGTGGTGCCAAACTTCACATTGACTTCGTACGTGATTCCAAAATGTATTTGTAAATTTTCATAGCGATTCTGACATTCACCTTTGTTTTGAAACAGACGAATCCGAAGCCTTTGCCGGCGCTAGTTTGTGGATCTCTCACGATCCGTACGGCTTCTACCTCAAGCTCCGGGGTGTTCCCTTGAAAAAGTGTGATGAGATCTTCGTCCTGCATGACGAGGTGGTCCACTGCACGGGTGAAACTCTAAAATAATTTCACTAATTTTGGTTATATGCGGAAAAACTAACAGAAGCTAATTAACTGCAAAATTCATCGACCATAACATAATAGCTGAGTGAGAGAACGCCCATCTTCAGGTATATCTCAACCACCCCTCGTCCCGATCGAAAACAATGCTTCACACTACGAACTGGCAAGGAGGCAGACATTAATCCCTGTGAATGCATCATGTAAACTGGCTCAGGAATGATAACTTTGTCATTGTTAGCAGGTTCTACTCCTTGAGACGAAGGTATGAGTGAGGGTCAAAAGACAATACACTCATCCAGGGAAAACTTACGAGTTACTAGGTTCACAAGGCAGAATTGCTATAACATCTTCCCCTTTAAGATAGAGAACTACTTAGCGACCAAAAAGAAAAGCCCGCTTTGTGACTTCTCTCTCAGTGACAAAGTTACTACTTCGGGAGTATTGACAGAGCTGCCTTAACGCTGTCGCGAGAGTCGGCAAGATTGCAGTTGATATATCCAAAGGTAATATCGAAAAAACCGACTGAGTAACAACGGGTACCGAGAGGTTAAGCTCTGCCCGTGATGATTACCGGGTGGAAAGAAATCGGCAGAATCTAGTCGAGAGGATTACAAAGTCTTTAAGCCAGACCATTTCCCAGGAAGAGGTCAAAGGACGTTCATGGTCCATAAGTAAAGGAGGGGCAAACATGAGCAGGGACTCCAAACAAGATGCCCTGCTTGCCTCTTGTAATGAAAACATTGTGCAGCAGTAAAATTATTGGTAACAAAATCGCAGGGCACGATTAACCTGTCAAATCAGTTCAGTTAAATATTACTTCGAGGGGCCTGGTTGCATCAACCTCATCAGGAATCATCTGTACCACTAACTGTGAGCTCAACCGGCTGGATGGATCATGTCCCTCCACTCCACTAATGAGAAGTCCTTCACAGACGTCCACATGGTTTCTACTTCCTTCGTAAAACGCCAACTTGTAGTCAGGAGGTTAGAGCTACGTGTGAAGCTTCACTCGAACTCAATATCAGTTTTCTTTAAAAAAACTCAACCCGACACCAACCTCAGGAGCGGTATAAAGGTCCAGTGGTCCTCCGCACTATTCCTCAGTGTACCATGAACGCCAAGTGACTAGCTGAAATTACTCAAGAGGTGCTGGCTTCCTCTTCTTCCCACTTCCCACGGTAGCATAAAGTTGCAAGATCGAACAAAGATATACCTCCGCGTCAAAAGGAAGATTTCCAATAAAAATGGACCGCTTCCGATCATACTCCACTCCTGATGAGTAACTTCCGGCCAAATCTACACGCAGATGTTTGCCTGCGAACTGCACGGACATATAGATAAACACATTCAGGTCGGCAACTACTTATATCGCGGACAACTTATAGATCAACAAATGCTGAATTGATTACGAATCCAAGCGCGTAATGCTCCAGGGAAAAGAAGTAAAGTAGGTAATCCTGGCCATACTGTTATAGCCACGACACGTCATGGCAATAAACCGCCGAAAGAAAAGCCGGTAGAATGATGACGAAAAACACCGAACCACTGATTGTTCCTCTAACTCTAACGTCTAGAAACCTAGACTAAAGTGCTTAGAGCGAAAGTAACGATACTACAATGCAGATTGTTACTATATTATGTTGACAACAGAAACCAAATGGCCATTCAGATATCGTACAGAACCAAAGAATGTACCTCCTTCATATTGTGGGCCAGGGCCGCCTGAGCTGAAGCCTCCTCCTTGAAGACGATGTAACCATTCAAACTGCAGCAAAACAAAAATATAGTACATGTCAAAAGTGGGAATGGTGCCAGATTATTATAGCCTTGTTTAGATCAGATTGCAAACATCGTCCCTTCCCAGATGTAGCCCATAATAGAACATGATGGAGAAAATTGGAGAAACTATTCACCTTCACATCCAAAGTTGAACTGATCCAGACATTAACATACTACATTTGTGAAAGAAGACCCAAAAAAACAAAGTTCGGGAATCCTGACCTGGTCCGATTCTCATTTAGGTTCCCGGTAATTACAGCTGCTCTCCGTGGCATTTTGACCTGCACAGCAAGGCAGGAAACATGTGAGCAAAATCTCATCCTCGTAACCATTTCTCCCGTCATAGCTTTCGCAATTTTTTATATAAGCAGCCAAAACTGCTCTGAAGTGTAAAACTTGCGCACCGCACAAAGTACATAAATTCCAACATCTTCAAGCAGTTAACTTCCCCAATCACTTACATCCACAATTGGAACAGATCTCAGTCGGGCAGATTCAACAGCACCGTACTGGGAAAACTCCGTACTCAAATGTTTAGCCTTCACATTCACTGGAACATTTCCCACAAATATAGTGCGCCGTAGTTTCGCGTCATTGTCAACCTTCTCCTGCTTCGTCAATTTCCTCTTCTTCCCCTTCCCTCCCATAAATTCATTGTCCTCGTCATCGCCAACCTTCCTCTTTCCCTTGGAATTGGAATCAGCAAAGTCCATATCGGCCACACCTCCAACGTCCTCCAGGTCAGTAGCTCCTCGGAGTTTCTTCTCGTAATTCTTTTCTAGCTCAACTTCCTTCTTCCTCTTCATTCCAGCACTCGTTTCATGGCTCTTCTCCTCACTCTTCTGGGGTGCATCTGCAATATCACTCACACGCGGGCTCAACTCGTTCACTTCATTCACAAGCTTCATTTTCTTCTTGCGTTTCTCTACCACCTCCAAATCGAGCGGCCTTTTCCCTTTGAGTCCAGTGCCCTCATCTACTACCGCTCCCACCTGATCAGAGTCTCCCGACTTCCGCTCTGCTTTCCCTATTTTGCTGTCAGGCGTCGATGGACTCTCTTGAGGCTCTGCGGAGTCCTCGTCGGTCCGCTTCTTTTTGTTGCGCTCGCTCTGCCTTTTCACTGGTTCAATCTGAGCGTCCCCATCATACTCTCCTTTCCTTTTCTTCCTCTTCTTCGACAGCGTGTACTCAGCATCGTCCGTCTCGGCAGCCTCCACCTTGTCGGATTCCTCCACATTGCCCGCCGGAATGTCCTGCTTCTGCCTCCGCCTGTCACTGGATCCACTCCCGTCGTTGCCGACGAACAATTCTTGCTCAACGTTCTCACCTAAACCCTCCGTCCTTCTCTTCTTCTTCTTCTTCTTCTCGCCACTAACGTCATCGTCACTCTTGGGCGTGTGCAATTTGCCACCGTCTAAGTCGATCTCCCCATGTCCCTGGCCCTTGGACCGAGAATCACTCAAATGCTTCTGCTTGCTCGGACTCTTCGATTCGATCTCCGACTGGGTGGGGGTCGCCCGTCTCCCCCCACTCGCATCCTCTGATCTGTCCTGCTTCGCTCCATCCTTCCCCGACTTTTTCAACTCGGCCTCGGCCTCCGCCGCAGCCTCAACCTTCGCCGCGGCAGCCTCCTGTTTTCGTCTGAAAGGATTGTTCGTGAAAATGGACAGGCCGTTGGAAAACCCACCGAACAGGCTCTCGAAGATACTCGAGCCCTCGGCGGCACCTGCTTTGTCTCCCATGGCCGGAAGCTCCACAAACGCCCCCCCTCTCGACGACGACGACGACGACTGCTGCTGCAAGAATCGGAAGCGACGCGATCTGCAAAAATCTTCAGGATCCTCAAAATCCCAGGCTTTCTCCGACCCTCTCCATCGTCGTCGACTTCCAAACCCTGGAACTCTTCCAGACTTTCCTCCGCCTCTCTACTCCACTCCAGCCGCCGGCCAGCCTCCGAAACCTTCCAACCCAGAATCGCACGAAAGCCTCGAAGGAGAATGATCGCACGCAAGGCCTAAAACCCACGAGAAGAATCACGAGCGAATCCCCCCCGCCACGACCCGCGATGCGCAATTCGCAGCCCCAAACCCCGAGCTGCCGCGCGAGAACAAAACCCCAACAAACTCCGCAAATCGCTCGAGCATCATACAACCGCCAATTCGCTGCAGAGGCCACGGAGGACGACGACGACGACTACAGAAGCGAAGGGTTGCTTGCTCGCTCGGCCCCTGGGACGCATTGCCTTGCCTTGCGGTGCTCGCCACGGAAGCCTTCCGGTGCACGCTGGCCTCGGACTCGGGCTCAAACCAATCGGCGAGCGCCACGTTGTCGGAAGCGACGCTCCCATTGGGGCGAGCGGCGAGATGCGACTGGCTGCGGCTGGCGCTTTTCGGTAACTGCTGGGCGGTCGCGGATGGACGGACGGACAGACGGACGGCGCTTCCGGTTGTTCCCACATCGTCGGCTGCAGTCCGTCCCGTTTGTCTGGACGTGGTCGGGTTTTGTTACATCCGCAGTTACTGAGCACTGCCTCAGAAGACGCCAACGAGCTTGGAACATCGAGATCAGGTATGCGGGCAAAGTGCGTCCTTTTTAATCGACAGCTTTTAGGTTTGCTTCAGACTGAGTCTTTGGCTTATTAATTGTTCGTTGTTGATTTAATTTCCTAGCTTATTAGAGTACATTGGATTTGTGGCTTTTGCAAGGATTTTTTTTTAATGTGGGTCTCCGACATGAGTATCTTGTCTTCTCGGGGGTGTGAGGTGCCGGGTGTCATCAGTGCATAAATGGAAGCAAAAAGATCTTGTAATTTTCGTCAAGATTTGGATTTACATATAGTTATGGAATTGGACATCAATGTTATATAAAGGAATGAGATAGAACCTAGGCGACATGGTGTATGGCTGTCTCTAGACAAAAATGTAATCTATTTTATATATGGATCTTTGGTATATCAATCAAGTTTGGAACATCAAGCGTTCATATTATTTACAGATAAAATTAATCTACATAGTTTGTGTGTCAGAAAAATATAATAAGTCTTTCATCACGACAGTTTTGAGGCCTCACACTGGTTTCGATTTGATCTTTTGTTTGATCGGTTTGATGGGGTCTAACCCTTTATTTTTCCCGAGCATAATCAAACCTAATCCGCGAGAATAGCAGATAACTGTAATCAGTTTTCTTCTAGACATAAAATGTTAATGGCATTCGTTCCTCACTGTTAACCATTTTCAAGGCTTTAGTGCTTATGAATGACTAGGTTGAAGTTCCGTTTCTGCCACATATTGTAGTGGCCTTGAAGTGCTGACGCCTATTTATATGCAGTGAGATAAAGTGGAAGAACTAGTCAATCTCTTGTCAACTCCTTGTTAAATGTCTGAGATTTGTATTCTGAAATTGTGCGAGAATATAATACACAACTCCGTGTAAATGCGAAAGCAGCCCAGAAATCATGCTTCAGAACTTCAGATCTTAAGTTAGAACTAGTAAAATATTGAATCTTTCACTGTTCCAGATAGTTTCGTTAGTACCAAGTTACAGGTAGAAGTTCTGAATATGGAATTTTCTAGATTCTATCCACTGAAGAAGAAAAATGTAATATTATTATCCTCATGAGAAACCATGAGAACAGAACTGTTATTTGTGGTTACGTGACAGCTGCCTGTACTATAGACTTAGACAGTACGAGTCTGTTGGAGTTGACGTGATGTACACTGCTGAAGTTCCTTTGTGTTCAAAATCTACAGAGTCGACAATCGCGTCCTCTGTCAAATACTGCGAATATATAGCGACAACTAAATATGGACATGGTTCGGGAAATTATTATCAGAACTTCGCTTTAAACCGCAATTCTTAATGACAGTGACAGTAACTCGTAATTCTTAGTGACAGTCAGAGTGCAAACACAATTGGATGGAAATCATTTCCTCCATCCAATGTTAGAACAGAGTATACATTAAAATTCAATGGATAAGGTCCGTATTAATCAGAGGGGTAGTATTATAAGACACAGTTAATACATAGTCAATGCAGCAGACAGTTGACGACATCTCTTTCCATTGCATATGGTATATATCATCGTAAATAATTTCATAATACAAGACTAAGAGAAGGATCCTAACGACAAGTTGGAGACTGCTATCGATGTCTGAATAGAACCCTCTGGACCTCAAAGTGGAAACTCGAATTGTCCTGGTTACTTAGTCAGCAGCGTTTACTTTCTCAGTGCCTATCTTAACACCTGGAGGCTAAGCAATCAGGTCCAAACGTGTAAAGTTCAAAACGAGGAAGACAATGGAGTAGAATTTAATACAAGAAGTGTTTTTCGAAGAATTAAACGATGACAGGGACCACTTTATTTCTGAGAGATCTACGTGTTGAAATACGTATCTCAATCTCTTGGAATATACAGTCATTTCATTCTTGGCAGCATCGAGAGGTAAGTTGTAAAGTCGTGTCTTTTTGAGTAGGCCATTGTTGCGCAGAGGAAAATCTACCACCCTCTTGTGTTCTTGAGAGTTCTGATAACGATTATTCTGCTTCAACCCCATCAGAATTTCTGACATTCGATCTCCGTTTGTTATGTTTACATAATCCATATATTAGAGGTAAGCTTACACATTAATTCTCTATCAGGTTCACATCCATCCAATGATACATTACCCGTTATCTAGGTAAGAATAAAAAAACGCACCAACGTTCAAGTCAACAGCAAGGATTATGGAACCAGATGTGAACAATTACAGGAGACTCAACTCAACGCGTATAAATCTTCTTCTGCTGCTTGTAATACGGGGACCTTCACCCTGATAGGAGAGAGAGCTGCGAACTCTCCTGGTGCAGTGCTCGACCTTTGAGATATGAAATGGATGTGAAGACCATCACCTTCTTCCGCTAGTTTATAAAGAACTTGACCTGCTCCAAAGTTGCCTAGAAGTCGATAAGATTGCTCGGATCCATCCATGGTTATACAGATGTCATCAGAACCTGCGTTTTGAACAAGAGAGACAGCAAAGTTTATACCTTCTGTCGTCCACTTGCAGTATTGATGGCACCATTGAACCAGTGTTGGAAACTTCCATCCAGACACCATTGAATGGAAGTTCAATTGTTCGTCGCTTATAGCATCATTATGATGCTATAAGCGACTATATCCCCTTCCACGAGATGTTGGGTTTTAGTTGTACACACAAAGTTATTTATTTAATAAATACAGGCAGAATGATTGCACATAAAGTAGAGCCAAATACGGTAAACTTTAACAAGTAATGACAGGAGGTAAGGGTTAGGCAGAGACACATGGAGAAGTTGAGATACAGTGACTCACAAGCAGCATGTTCCAGTTGAGTGTTGTATATGAATTCCAGTACAGCCGATGCTTCTTGCTCGAAATCATGGAGGGGCCCACTGACGAAACCAACACGCCGTAGTTTAGTCAAGCCTTCCCCCAGTTCAACCATGGCTCCCCTGTGATTCTGCAAACATGAAAGAGCATCTTGTCACTATAACAGAAACATCAAATCATACCAATTGGTTATCCTCAGTTGTTTTGATCACCCTGTTTATGAAGAAGAAAAGATTCTGATTACCTGATGGAGGAGGTGGTACAGTCCCACAGCGCATTGGAGTATTCCATGTAGTATACTTCTTTGTGGTTCTCGAGCGTCATTCCACAGACTTTCGAGAACATCGTGACATTGGTAGTACTCTCCAGCGTTGAACAGCTTCACGCCCTCGTGGAAGCTCACTCCAAGAGCATCTTCCGCTATTTCTTCGTCGTTCCATCTCCAAGCAAATGCAATTATGCTTCCAGTTGACCTCCTTTTCTGAACGCAATTGAAACCTATGATATCCATCAAACAAAATTGACAACTTCCATCAGAAGGACGAATGCATCATAAACCTCATTCAGCATCAAGCCATTCGCTGAGACTTGGTTTGATGGAACAAGCACCTCTGTAGCCCTTATATGGGCCCACAGAAAGCTCAATACAGAACAGAACATATGTCAAGGGAATGACAAGGTTAAATCTCACAATGCTCCCTCAATTTGTCAGTAGCCTACGCACCAATCTGCTGCAAACTCAAAGAAGACATGCATTAGTTTCTAATAAGTTTGAGACTTTAATCTCATGGATATTACAAGTGCATTTTAAGTTCAAGAATATAGGCACAAACTCCTTTCCAAATCAACTCATTTTTAAGATAACAATGGACAGCCCAGGTTTCTCACAGTTGCATTACTTATCACCATCTACTGGACCTCATCGTTGCGAATATTAAATTCCGAACAGAGTAACATCGAACTAGGCTGCATTTTTTTCGGCAGTCGACATGTCCCTTTTGCAGTCACCGCAAACTGTTTCGAGCTGTATATCAATCTTTGACATATTTAGCCTCATAAAATAATACGTTATCAGGCTAAAATATGAGATATCTACTAGTCCATTTAAATGCAAAGGTATCAGGTGATGGGCTTAACCCAGACTGTTATACCAGAATATTTTTTCAGCGTGACTCTGAGCCGGATTCCTTTTATACGTACTTCTCCAGGCTGACGAAGGTCAGAAATATTTTTTCTTGTTGCCTCTGTCGTGTTTCACATCACTGAAGCTTCTTAAGGACTCTGATGAAATAACTTCTTTCACCCCTTACGATTAGTTTTCTAGCAGTTTGAGGTACTCAAATGAGAACAGTAGGTCATGTAGTACTTTCAACTTCACACTGGTGTGCATGACCACTCATCTAACAATATATCACGTTGCGAATTGACATTTCACAGGAATTTCTGGTTATAGTAGTCAGGTTTCAAAGTCAGAAGATATGGACATACAAACGACATTCAGTATCTATCACTGGAGAAGACTACGCAATCGAGGGAAAAGCTGGTGTGGTGGAAAATGATCAGCTGTGGGCTTCAATCAGAGTGATAATTCACTAGCTCTGGTGCACTATTCCAGCTTTGAGCCCTGAAAGAACTTGACTATGAGCAGTAAGAGAGCAATGTACATACGTAATAGAGCCCATGGAGGACCAAACGCTGATTAACAAATCCAAGAGACTCTGCTTTACTATTTCAGAGAAGAATCTGTAACACGACACAGAGACTAAGTCGGCAGCCTCAGCGACTTGTCATCTATACGGGCATGAAGATTTTACCTCGAAGATTCGATCGCCGACGTATACATAAATCGAAATTCGCAATCAAGTCCAATTGCTTACAAGGGCAGGAAGTGAATGCAATTTTGTCAGCAACGATGCTTGTGATAAATGACTGCGGCCGAGCTACGAGATACGACTCTGATAATCCAAGCCTGAATTCAAATCACAGGATTATGCGGGTCGAGTCAGCGACACAGGCTCAATTTCATAATTGAGAATTTCACAGGCATGGAGTACCGAAGCAGACTACAGAGAAATAATGAAAATGAAAAGCGTGAACAGTGAAAGGAAGTGATTTAGCAGTCGGACGATTGTTGGCTTCGTGAGCTTCTGATGAACTTACCTCGTAACCATGATCTCCGGCCTGCTGTCGAAAGCAAGCTGGGCTGGTCGACCTTGCAGTCTACGACGTACGCAGCTCAAGACACAGAGCCTGCAGCCTAACAATTACGGGGCCGAATCTGTGTGCTAAACTTCGTGCGACCAAGACGGGCCTCGACCCCTGGGGTAAAAAACAAGTACTGTAGTCTCGTAAACACACCATGGCCACTTCTCTTCGTCGATGCTTATCTACAGACAGTCCCTAAACTTGGCCCAGCCGGGACTTTGTGAGAGCGACTCATGGCCATTAATTTCCTTAAATGTTGCACTTTGTGATGTCACCCTGGTAGAAAGCCTTTCTTAGCACAAGATTTCTGTCGGGCTCGCATCCGTCTTGAGCTCATGGTGGTGTGAAACATGCTGCAAAATCGGAACCCCTTTGCTCGACATGAAAAATTTTTAGTAAAGGCAGGTTGTTACCGAACGTCTCCATTGTTGCTTGATTGATTTAGCCGCATCCACAAGAATGGACTTCAGAAGTAGTGTTCCATCCTTGTTTCCAATAATTTACTCGATCTGGATTACAGGTTGGGTATTCATAGTCCAATTCGGATCGCTGCTCTTCCGATTACAAATGACTTTGGGACACTTCAATTTTGAAATCACACTTCTGGTGGAAGGTGTATTTGGGATATGCCTTCCGCATGACCTTGCGTTTTGCCCGCAACAATCCTTGGAGTACTACACCAATCTTACCTTGCGATGATAACAGAAGTCATTTTCTGCTCAAGTTCCTTGCAGGTGCTTGCTCTCCGTGGGATCGATCTACGGAATGACGGCAAAATCGGGGGCAATTTGTATAACAATCAATGAAGTTGGTATGGAACAACTGCTTGTCTGGTGCTGTGCAGGGGCAAATCGAATAGCGAGATCTTCTAATATTAGCCTTCCCTTCAGTCTTCCCACATTATGAGATTTTCACCAACTCTTTACAAAAAGACCTCGAGGAGAAATGTTGAGCGCGCACCTCCTCCCCCTCCCCCTGCCTCGTGTAAGAGCTTAGATATCGGGTCTTGAGATCTCCACTCACTCCTCTGTACTTCTTTCGCTGACTGTCACCCTCCGTTGGGTTAGATGAACGTTAGGTTAGTTATCCCAGGTCCCATTGAGCAACCTCCGCCTAAGTCCAAACTCTATTCATTCTAATTTGTGTCTACTCAAAATACTAAAAAGTGAAAATATAGTACTATCCTGGAATAAGCTATTCTTCAAGATTGTATTAACTAGATACAAATTGAAATACCATAAATTCAAGAATGTAAAAGTTTCTTTGGATTCGTGACACTACTTATTTTTTGGCAATAATCAATATGATGAAATAGTTTTGTTTTCATCTTTCCCAATAATCTAAAATATATCATTATATCTTAAATGTATCTATATTAGAAATATTCTATTATTAATATTCTTTCAATTTATCTAAGAATTCAAGAAGATGTACTCCAAATTTCATTCAACAATCATTCACCTCTATACTAATTTATTGTAAGAAAAATTCCATTTGTAATGAGATGTATATTCAAAAAGATTTTACTTCACGTTTAAATCTTAGGGTAAAATAAGAAAGCACACACGAAATTGAAATTAAAGTGAGTAAGTACGATCTCTACTAGTATATCATATATGTGATGCTTGTAACACTTTTGGCTAAATCAACCCCGACCGTATTCCATCTGACGGCAACGTTCATTGTTTGCGGGGTCATCGTTGTGTGCGTTGAATTACAATGTCTCCATGTCTTTAAACAGGTTCGCGTACAAAATAGCACAAGATTTTTCACGGGATTTAAATTGAACTTCACAATATCATCGTCATCCAGGGTTTCATCGTCACCGTAATCTAGGTTAACATTTCGCGCGCTCTCTTTCTTATTCCAAATTTTGTGCTGGAACTTCACGAAACTGTCATGAAACTTTGGAACTTCGATACGGAGCAAGCTAGATTGGACTCAGTCGAGTTTGCAAGCAAGCTAGTTGTGTGCGTTTAGTGAAAAACATGTCTTCATGTTTTTAAACAAGTTGGCGTACGATATTGCATAAGATTTTTCACGGTGATTAGAATTGAATTTTTTCTGGAATTGCTCTCGTCGAAGAGTTTCTATTATATATACAGTCTAGCTAGATTTTGTCAGTGTCAGACATGAAACCAAGAAAAAAGAAGATATTAGAAATTTGGGAAGACTATCAGTAGTATCTGACGCAAACTAGAGTAAAATGTCACTTTTGCTGTTGGCGAGAGTTATCTTGTCGAGGAATTTACTATGCTAGAATCACTCCTTGTTGTTGAGTAACCGGTCTTTGATTGTGTTTAAATACAAAAATTATCAAACTATCAAAGAGCATGATAAACTTCAGTTCAAATTGAGAATATGTTCGGGCAGTAGATTTGGGTTTGCCTTGTATGTTGGTCGTTGTCGATCGCTTCGTGCGTATTGGAAAATTATTTCACTCAAGATGTAGCACTCGAGTTTGCATGTTGTGGTTTCATACTCATACTTTTTCTATTTCTTCTTGGTTAATTTGAAGAAGTTCAAAGTATTTCAGTTTCTTTTTGGTTGATTTGATGAAGTTCAAAATAATTCAGTTTCTTTTTGGTAGATTTGATGAAATTCAAAGTATCTTTGTTTTTTCTTGATCGATTTGATTATAAGAGTTTAGGTTGATGAATATGTTGATTGTGAATTTTTTGCTTATGAGATAACTTAGGTTAGGTTTTAGACATGGATATGCCTAGACGCAACTAAGAGTTAAAGGGAAGGAGAGGTCTCTGTCTACGGAGTCAACCTTCTTGGCCATGTTGATCCAATCAAAATTTGATCCTGGTTTTTTTTCTTCTCTTGCGTTGGATAACACGTTTGTGACAATCAAATATGACGTAAGTTTAATTTTAGTTGTATTTTGAATTGTTGATTTTATTTATATGACATTGTGATATTTTTTTATTGTTCTGGTGTTGATTGTTAGTGTTTCAATTGGATTGTACTCCACTACATCAGCGTCATTTTGTGGTACGTAGACTACACATTGATCACTTTGACTTTTGACTTTCAGTTCAGATTTATCTCGTGGGTGTATGTTTTATATGAGATATATGCCAAATTTTTTTCTCCGCATCTAACATTTTTCTTTCTATTACTTTTCGCTTAAACATGGTATAGTAGATCTTCTCTTACCATCAAAAGTTGATTTTGTACATGTTTGTAACATATCATACAATAGAAATAGTAATTGTTCTTGGTCCAGTTTTCTTTGTTGTCCAAACCTTCTTTCTCCAGTTGCAAGTAGAACCTTCTATAATTTCATTGTAGTGTATATATCACTAATTATTTATCTAGAAAGCATGCACAGTTTTCACATACAAGTTTCACTTTTAAAGTCATACATGTCTTACGTCTAGGAATAGCACATTCTACAGTCATACAACTTACATTCTATATATTCTTCATCTTTCAAATTCATGTGTAGCTAGTACATATTGGGTATTTGTAATCCGCAAAATTCTTCCAAAGAGTTCTGAGCGCATCAATGCGCTCGCGGGATCTGCAATACGAAAATATCATGTGAAGCCTTGATGCACTACGCACATTGATTGCTGAAAACACACCAACAAATGCAATTCGGGCACGATTTGTACAAAGAAGATCAGCAAAAGAAGATCCATGATAACACATCTGCATAAAACATGATCAACAAATTCTACTCAAGACGGTCGTCAATCTTCTTTTGAAAAGAACACAGCCTCTTGCAGTTTCCTATTTGACCTTCTAAGAGAGCTATTATTCTCGACATTTCATGCAGATCCGGGTACATATTGACAAGGATGAATGAATTGTGGATCTAGTGTATAAGTCATGAGGAAGAAGAAAAGACAAAGTCTAGATCCTCAGCAAGGTTAGAATCCTAACAGTACCTAACGCGAGATAGCTCTAGTGCAGGACTGAAGGGCGTATAATGTGATCGTCAACACGTGTTTCACATCGATGAACCATATGTCCAATTTAAATAGAGGGTGCACTAACTAGAGGTTAAGCGCTGGAAGGATGAACTGTTCACGAGATGGTGATAAAGAAGAGAGTGTCACGACGAATGCCGTCAACCCACGAGCATACGGTCGGAGTTGTTCTAACCTGCAGTCTTGTAATGTGTTTATTCGAAGAGATACAAAAAATTACTATTTATTACAAACTTTTTGGACCAACAATAACATTTGTCCAACTCGTTCGCAAAATGGGAAATCTTGTAAAGATCCAACGGAAGCTCATGTGAAATCTGATATGGAAGGGATTCGGATGTAAGTTTAGAGTATATGAATTCTTTTTGGATGGGATTTAAAAAATGTACCCACATGATGCAACATGTATTCATGTACAACACTAGTTGTTTTGGTGTAAATAGTTATGTGATTTTTCATTGTTAAAGCTATGGACTTGTTATTACAAGTCTATAGACCGGACAATGATTCAAATTGTCTATTGTATTATTATTTTTATTCTCATTTTTCAAAAAATGTATCAAACCTTGATTTTCAGATTTTTCTTATATTTAATATTTTAAAATTAGAAATTTTTAGAATTTCCTTTGAACATTACATATTTGTAAATGTATTTCTTATATGTATTCATCAATTGGGTGATACTAATGCCTTAAATGTAAAAAATAGATTTTTCGATAACAGTAACAATACCATTTTGGTTCTTAAAAATATATTTCAAAACTTCGAAAGTTGTTGAAAAAAGCACATCATTCATATCTTTCATCAAGTACCATATTTGCCTAAAATAGGAATAAAAACGCCAAGTCCACGTTTCTAACCGTCCTTGTGTGTTTAAAAAGATTCGGACTTGCCTGTACTCGGGTGGAGTAGTATATCTCCAAATTGTATATCTGTGGTCGATTTGCAACCTTTGAAAAACGTTCCGTGCCACTACCAATGCAAGATCATGAAAAATCTGAAACTTTTCCTTGGCACTACATTGCTGGAAGATTTGCAGGCTAAAGTCACTATGAGAGTTTTATTGTCACTACATGTCCTGCCAATGGTTAGCGAGCTGTGGATTGGGAAGAACAGCAAATGCAGTCCTCGAAGTTCCATGAAGTTTTAAAAGGCGTTCGTGAAAGTTTATTGTAGATGTTTTGTTTTCCATAAATATCTTGATCAATATGTGTTCGATTGTAGCATGAACTGCGTGCTAAGAACTGTGCAGGTTTTGAAAAAAATGTAAGAAAAAGTAGCTCCTGAATCACAAGGATGAGCTTGGCCAAAGTATATACTGTACACATATGAAAAGACACCAGGGTATCGTGCAGTCATACATGTGATCTAGATACACGACTCACTCACTCACGAGTGAAGTTCGGCTCTAAAGACAAAAGATGACGGTACGCAAATAAACAAATCGGCATAAAATGACCCACGACAAAAACAGGCCAAATTACGGACCCGAATTTGTAGCGAAGTAATGTCTGAAGCGTGTGCTTTATGGGAACGATGATGAAGACAATCAAACAACGGATTTCAGCTATTTAAAGACGAGGCAGTACATGTTCCATCGGGCACGAAGAGGAACAAATGGAAACCTAGAGAGTAGACACTGCTTCCATTGCATCCGTTCTTCCTCGTCCTCGAAAAGTTGGCGAATCCAGGATGGTTGTGGCTTCCATGATGCAACCGGTGTACTGTCCTTGGCCAACATGACGTCTCATTCCCAACGCTGAGTGTCACCGATGTGTCATCATGTAACGATCACCTTACAAATTCCACCCTGTTCCGTTGATGCATAGATTGCAGCATTGGAGGTTAGAGACGACGGTCTTCGCCCGTAGGCACAAGCCCAACGCTTGCTGTTACTGTGCCGACTCGAGATGACATCATTCAAGCATAACCCGCAAGCCGGTTAGCCATGTCTTTGGTAGACATCTTGGGACAGGTGTAGGAGCGAATGAACTTCAAAATTGCAGTCGGTATCCGATCATCAAGAGTTCATAATTGATGTCATGAGTCCCACCTCTCTCTCACATCCAAAGAGATTTGAGCTCACTGGCACAGCCCTGCTTTGCTTGTGAGATTTGAAGTTGCCGCCATGCTTACTCATGTGTAGGCATGAGTAAGCATTCTGCTAAAACGTCCAAGAGCCCGAAACCAAGAGTGCAGTATATTTTACTCGTCACCAGGAGAGAGCGAGGTTGTTGCAGCTCACTCCATTGTGTCCGAGGTGGAGATTAGTTCAACGGTCGACCACAAAACCGGCAAGCTTTTCTACAGCAGGGTCTCTCTACTCGACCTCATGATCCCAATCGCGAGCTTGATGATGATACTTTATGTACGCTGGGGCAGTACTGGAGATGCGGGGATTCAGACGAAGACATGCGATTGTCGATCCGTGCGGTCGGCTAGTTTATTATTTTATCTTGCTTTATGCGGAACCTGTATTCTGCGCACTTATGAATACTCGACGTGTCCTACTGTATATAGAGGTGTGATTATACGACTTAGGCCCGGGGTTGAGATAGATTCTACCCGTCATTATAGCAACCCTCTCATTCGTGGCAGAAGGAAACGAGAAGGCGATCAGCCACACAACACGCCCGCCACAGGAGTTTAGCATTGATTGGTCATGAAATTCACGGTAAGCGGCGCAGTAGAATGGTGTTGGGCTGTACAGCCGCATTGATAACCTGGTGTCTTGTAATCAGAGCCAATGCATCGGTACCTCCAGTAATTAGACTTAAGAATGTATCCTTCCCATGAAACTAGCGTTAATGCATTCAAATTCATCTTGGAAGAAAATATTGAGTGTGACGGCACGCAAAATGACGGCCGCTTCTCTTCACTTGAATCTCTGCCAGTGACAGCTCGCCGTCTGGGCTTGCGATATACGAAAGGAAAATCGTAGTCTTTAGACTATAAATCATACTGCACGTCATCTAGATATCCACCTATTGTCCATCAAAGTCCCTTGTTCGTCGGGTGTTGTGTTCTACAATGTATGATTCGGGTCAAGGAGTACATGGCCAACAGGACATGCCATCTCACACGATAATCGACAAATTCTTGCAACTTAAACAAGAATATACCCATATTGGCATCAGGAGGGTTTTTGGGGGGGGGGGGGGGGGGGGGGGAAGATGGATTTAACAATCGATGAAACTTCCTCGGGAGGGTCAAGGTCATCCCCTTGGAACCAAATTCTCCTCCTAGTGTAGAAGTAGAGCAGTCCGTACATGGCTAAAATTCTGGCCTTTGCTGAGCCACTATAACACTATAACGACAGTAACAGGTCCAACAATATCGTGTGGAAACAGGCAAGCAAGCAGGCAGGACTAGAGAAGTTCATGATGAATGTCACGAGAGAGCCGTAACGGCACCCAACCATCATTGGTGCAACGAGATTTTATAATATATTTTTAACATTGGCGCTATGATGTTCGATGTCTCTCTTCCTCGCTCGCCTCGTCTAATTAGACCGATTGTGTCGAACCAGATCAAGTAGTTACAGTATGTCCTCTGCAGCTCCAATGGTTTGTTTGTTTGTGTGCTTGCTTGTGTGTTTGTTCCGGAACGAGCCTACATACTGCGCCGCAATCAAGAGCCAAGCGAGAAAGGGAAAACTTCCCAGCATTGAATGACTGAAATGTGACGGACTTTTCAAGCACGGCCCCCAACGCAATCGAAAACTGTAAGCATTACTTTGGCATTCATAGCATCTGCTGCGTAGAGCTTGAGGGCGCCATGGATTCGGTACAGTAGCTGTATTCTCTGAACTTTTGCTCGTTCAACAACGAACATATATACCGAACCTGATCCGCCTCTCGCGCGCTTCGGTCCGTACCGGTTACCGATCAAAGTGACTCGGCCATTTTTACCGTTGACGGGGGGGATGTAGAGGAACGTTCTGGTCGGTCGGGATCCCCCGTCCGTTAGATCGGGCCGGGATCTGTGAGCCGTTTGTCGCGTCTGGTGGATTTCTCAGCGGATATCCGGCGGATTTTACATGACCGTTGGTTCGCGCCTCCGACTGGCAGTCAGATTGCCTCGACCATAGTCTGCCTTGTGCCAACACTGCCGCCAAGCTCGTAAGCTCTGCTCTCTCTCGCTGCAGTCAGTGCGTTTCTGCGAAGCTTGCTGCTCTGCCGTCGTCTCCAGCCTCCAGCCCCAGCCCCCAGCGGCCCCACACCTCCCTCGCCCATGCCTTCTTATACTCCGGTCCTCGTCATTCTCATGCATTCTTAGCATTCAAAGCTCTTCTAAGCAATTCAGCTCCCCAGCTCACTCGTCTGCAGTTTCAGCAATTCAGCCTTCCTGAGGAGTGAAGTAAGCGTTGAGTAAACTTTCAGCTGTGGTGTGGTGTATGCTCAATTGTACATCAGCTCATTCCGACCCAAGGCTGTAGTGAGAGGTCTCGTCAATCAGACCGCCGTCATCCAGTGTGCGTTCGTGTGTGTGCTGAAGGCGACATTTGCTAGTTCGAACAAGTTCCTGACTCGCTTCTTCGTCAAGATGATGAGCGTCAGTGATGTGAGCACCTACGTCTTCTACGTCTACCTTCCCCTGCTTTGCGTCTGCGTTATGGTTCGTGATTGGGTGACTTGCTCGATTCTGTGCCTCTCAGCTGGTGGAATGAAGCAAGAAGTTAGCGTCGAAGCATCCGTGCAAGTTATACAATGCTAGGACGTTGGCAATGTGTGTGTGTGTGTGTGTGTGTGTGGGTGTTCTGATGCTTCAAGATCTCGGAGCTCACCTCGGCCTGTTCTCCTCTGGTTGTTCTGCGCAGTTCTTCTATGGAGCCCGCGAGCCGGTATGGATTGTCCACACACCTCAGAGCTCTACCAAGTCCTACATTGCAGGAACACCTCAATCTGTTCACACTCCTCAATCTGTCCACACTCGAGGGGGCCACACTGAAATCTTTCATCACTCGGTACGGTTCCCAGAAGCCTTCACTCATCGAACGCAATGCTCGGACTCGATTCTTGTGTTCAGCTTCCGTCACTTCTGAATACTTCATAATTCCCACGTTGATATTGGAGATTGTGTAGACTGACTTCGTAGTTTACTGCAGATTGTAGAACTGAAAGTGCCTGTCTGCTGTGAGGCCTGCGAGGAGAGAGTGAAGCACGCACTACTGAACTGCAATGGTGAGCACTCAATTTGACCTCTCGATGCTCTTTGAATAAATTATTTCTCAGCTATCCTACAAGATGTCCCGCAGGTGGACCTGCAGACATGATCTCATGGCTGTGTAGTGGAACCATCGGTTGTTCATGTTACAGATGCAATGTGGCGGCTGCCCACTTACGTGAAGATTAATATAGTTGTGCACATTATTGCAGGCGTTGATTCTGTACGCTGCGATACGAATAGGCAGAGAGTGACTGTGACTGGAACTGCTGCACCAGCTGACCTGTTGAAGATATGCAAGAAGCTGCACAAGCGGTCTGAACTCCTCGGTGGAAACACGGGCACTGGAAAGAAGGGCAAGCATACTCCCGGTTCCGTTACTTCTGTCGGGGTCTGGAATAGACACAATGACTGGAAGAACACGCCGTCCGCAATCTCTGCCTGGCTTTGAAAGTCTACGTCTCCTAAGAAAGGCATTTTCTGTAGTTTGTTTTTGGTAGGAGTGAAGCACCAGGTGTTTCTTGTACAAATTTTGTGTGGGTACTCGCGTGCTAGCTGACCAAGACACTGAAGTCTTGTCCACCTGTAGCTTGTACTGTTCGTTCTCAGAGCAGTGCTGCTGCATGCTAGTAGATTCGTTTGAATATCTCCCGCCCCCTGAGGTTGAGTAGCTGCCGGATGGCTGAGGGAGTTTGCAGAGTGTTGCAAACTATGTAGTGCAGGCGTAGATTATAATATATATGCAGTGGTTGAGTAGGAGCGTTAGTGTACGTAGCAACCGATTAGTTCCCTAACGAATTGTGTAGCTGAACCAGAGGTTGGCAAGGCTACTCCTGAGAATTGAATCTTTGTCCTAAAATCCGGCTATCGTTTATAAAAAGAAGTGCTGTTGAAACACGACCGTTTGTGCCTAGCTCTCGACTCTCGAGTTAATGATGTTGAACATTCTGTATTGTTTGCGTAGTCTGCCACAAACGTTCTCAAATGGCAGGAGTCTATGCACAGTTTCATCTTATGATATGTATTCCGAGAAGATGATGTATGTTATACTTTCCGACAGACGAAACGTAACCTTCACACATAGAAACTAAAAATCAACGTTAATATTGGTGAGCAAATTAAATTCGTATTAATGCGTTCAAGATACACAGGAAATAAAATAATGCAAACAACTTCCAGGAGGAGGATGACATTATTGTAACGAAATGTAACATAATCCTCACATATAAGTAACATCCTGAAAAATAATTTAACTCCTAAATTTACTAAATTAACCTGTTTCTCACTAGTACGTGAAGGAAATCAAGCTCTAAAACTTAAAATTTTCAATCTTATTATCAAATTTTGCGTCAAAATAATTAAATGAAATACTGTTTCATAATCTTTTCACTCATATCTCCAAACTGAAATTCTTATCGACTTATAATATTGTATGACTGTAAACTTGCAAAGAGAAAAATGTTCACAAATTTGAACATATTTATGAAACATTTTCCTTCCACTGTTGTTTAGCATCCTGATAATTAGAAATCTATCGGAACATATGCCTTATGACATTATTCTTCCACCCTTATACACAAGGGTGGAAGATAATTATGGTAATTAGAGATAGTTATGGTATATATTTATGGTAACAAAAGTGTCGAATAATTTTTCCAAACTTATACTCGATACATTACAAACCATAACTTCTCATCAATTTGTGCATCCGGATAAGTGCATATTTCTCACACCTTGATTACTGGCGCAATTTTAGAAGAACAGTGAAACATGAAATTGGGAAAGTAGGCCTGGAAAGGTCGAAGCATGTGTGTACAGTGAGTTCACGAAGCGCACTGAGAAGCGCAACGAATTCATTCCACAATCTTGTCGCCACTGCCCCCTTTTCTATAATATTCACGCGAGGAGAACGATGCTGCTGTCCTCTCTGGCCTTACCTTTTCCTGTAAGAGAGGAAGGCCCGATCTGACCTGACCGACCGGCTGCTGACTCTACGGCCCCATTGTCAGACTGGCAGGGTGACTGGCTCGGCTGCTGTGGTGTGCGCAGCTACATTATTTCATCTCTCGTCGAACAGCTGCACCTTTCTGTCCATCCCAGTCCGAAGATTCCATCTTTAGACATATCACCCGGGCACCAAAAAGACAAATTTCGACCCGAGAATCCCGTCGATGCCCACTTAGCGATAATCACATCATTCGTCTCACATGATCATCTGCCCCAATCCGCCGATCATTCACTTAACGGACGAGTTATGTTATGCTTATCTGTTCCTGCCCCCTGCTACTGCTACTCCTCCTAGCCTTCTACAGAGAGAGAGAGAGAGTCCCGTTCCTCATCCTGCCCCTTCTCTCTCTCTCTCTCTCGTCGTACAGTGAACTCGAGCCCAGACCATCTGACGGACAGACATGCCAACCGTTCTGGCTCCTGTATGTATGGAATCTGAGTTCCGGACAGACCGGAGGTACGGCGTCCTTGCCGCGTGTGGAGCCCGTCAAAAGCCACTCCCTCTTTCTTTCACTGAAGGCTGAAGTGTGCTGAGCTCTGATCCGAAGCTCTTGTGTGTCGTCTGGGGAAAAGCGAGATGTGGACATCGTTGCGGGGGTCGGGGTGGGGTGAAAGTACACGTACAGTAGTAGCGCCTCCCCCCGCCCCCGCATGGTTAGAATCCGCGCGCGAGAGAGAGATGGAAGAAAGCGATTACCCCTGCGCAGGTGTTGTGTTGTACGCAGCGTTGGGCTCTTCACCTTGACCACGAGGGAGGACGGACGGAGTGGGAGTTCGTCTGCCTTCCTGCCTGTCTGCCTGCCTGTCGATCGATCTATCGATCGATCTATCTATCTATCTATCTATCGCCCGTCGCTAGAAAGTTCTCCTTCTTTCTGGTTGTCTCCTGTACTGCGAGGAGGGCCTGTACTGTATTGTACAGGACGGTACTCCCCGACATCCTCTAGGCCCAGGAGTTTCTCCGTTCTCCACGCACGTAGTCGCATCCATGCAGATTTTACGAGGCCGGCTCGATTGCCAAATCTGTGTAATATCAGAAAGCCCTCTCATGGATCACGCCACGGCCATTCCGTCGATCGGAAGCCACGTTTGGGCACCTCGCATCTGCCTTCGCGCTTCTCGGCGCTTGCCGTGAATTTTCTCGACTGCTACGAGTCCATCTGTCGAGCGCCCCTTGCTCTCACAGAAACCGGCACGAACGAAAGAGCGCAGTTGTATTTGCTGCTCAGGTCCGCGCCTCTAGGCGTCTTGATGTGTACCAATTTCACCGATCCGGTTGGAGTATGTATGGCATGCTAGACTCGACGCGAGAGCGCGGATCGAGCGACAGAGAGAGAGAGAACTATGGGCGTTCATGGTATCGAGAATTACCGTCGTACCTTCACTTTCGTCCAGTTTGTAACGATTTTGTTAGCCGCGGTTGCTCTCGTATTCTCCAAGGGCTCGTAGCCAACCACTCATCATCAACAGATCTACATCTCCATACGACAGCCCGGCCTTGGTGGGACTAACATGATGGAATCTGCAATACCGGCTCCGTCTTGCTCCTGATCAGACGTAAGATAAAAGCCCAGTTTGTACTGCAAATCGGGTTTAGTCAGTAGATATTTCTGGCTCAATGAGCTTCACAACTGTGCTCATTATGCGCCTTTTGTCCTTTTCAATGTGTATTTCTCCCCAGGCCTCAATCGATTCGCCTACTGCTCGCGTTCTTAGGGGAGCACTGGGGCAGGGACTCACGAAGCGCGATAGGTTGCAGTGATCCGCAGTCTGTTTCACGTTCACATTTGTGACAGGTGTGGTGAGGCCTTCTAGCGTTACAACACATTTCTTATCTATCCAGGCACTCATTAGAAATATGCACCGAGGGTGCAAATGTCAAGCGGGTCCATGGCTGACACCGCTATCCTGGAAATAGTCCCCAGCCTCATACACGCTTGAAATGGTTGTAGTGGATCGATCCAGTGGCAGGCGCATGGTGTAGACGACAGATCTCGTCGCGCATACTCGTATGGCGCAGTGCATTAAAGCGAGAAGACGGGAGGACCGCGAGGGGGGAACACTGGAAACGCAGCAGAGAATTCAGAAGCGGGAATAACACAGACCATACGGGTAGATCTAGAAACAACTGGCAGGTCAGAGCCTGCATGTCAGTGGCTTATCAAAATTAGACCTCACATGGAGTCCGAGTCTGAATAATCATTCTCATCATCTCCGATCGAGAAGAATGTCATTTGCCACCGAGAAGAAAGGTCCTTACGCGACGGGGCAGCTGCAAATCGAAGCCTCGGCAGCATAATGCAATTCTTCTTCCATCGAAATTCCGTCCAAATCAGCGAATGCTGCGTACGGTGTCCTTCCAGGCCTGTTCCGAAATACGGCCTTTCACCGGAGTCCATGACACATGCCAGGTTGCGGTTGCGGCAGCGGCAGCTCTTAGGCCTGGCCAGGGTCCCTAACGAGGCGGAAAGTCCGACTGGCTATCATTGGACTACTCATTACAGGTGACAACTTTTTTCCCTCTGCCCGTCGTACTCCTCGCCCTCGCCACGTCGGCAGCCTCTGCCCGCCGCCAAGGCGCGCGCTTCCCGAGGAGTAACAAGATCTTCTCCGAGCCTGATGTGCGCTTGCCACGTCGGCCGTCCAGCTAGGCGGCTCCCCCGGTTGGCGAGGCCTCGAGGCTACCTGTGCCCCTGAGGGGCCTACGCGCCTTGGGTTCGGAGCCTAACCCTTGGACACTGCGACCGGAGTTACAGTCTGCTGGTCTGCCAGGCTTTTCCGGACGGACGGGATTCCATACCAGAGTCCCAGAGTGTCCTGCGTCAGTGATGCCCGGCGCCATTGGCCCTTCCGATCCGACCTCATGCGTATTAGGTGGAGTATTCTGATGAGAACGCTGCCCATTATTTATGCTTTTCTCCCTCGGCCCTCTTTTACGTTTTCGCCCCGGTAGGTGTTGCAACCATCATATTGGGAACATATTCCAGTTTGTATGCCTGGCTCGCCCAATGAAGTCTCATTATTGACATATCGAAAGAAACGTATCTCTCAATCATTACCACAAGATCTGAAATCCATCACGGATTGCATTTTTTATTTCAGAACCGAGGCAATGACCATTGTGCTAAGCATGGGGATTCCAATTCTTACATCGTAATCAGACTGTGTTCATCTTCAGACTGGAGTGCAGATGCGTGAAGTAATCGAGGGGTGTCGAGGGAGGATGATTTCACCATCGATTACTACTATCAGAGGTCACTTCCTTCTAGTGTTTTCTTTGTTTTATCACCTAATGTGATGTTTCCAAATATAGCACATGTATCATTGCCATTAATTACGTCTTCTGTCAGAAACTCAGAGGAGATTTTTGTTCGAGGTAAGTTCGGAATTGGTACAAAATCCAGTCTCCAATTCTTTTCCTCTTTTGGAGGGTTTGAGGCCTTGGGTTGCTGTGAAGGGCAGAAAGAGGCTCAAAATCTTTGGAAACCGATGTCTCTTGGACCTATTTTGTGACAAGTAAACTATCATGACCTTATAGATGAGACAAGGGAATAGAAGACAATTAAAAATCGTAGAATGACATAAAATGAAGGAACATCACACCACCATAGTAGTCGTCATCTCGCATCGAAAGTCTCATCGAGGGAGAGAACCTAAACGTTGGCATGTTGAGAAGTATGCACAGAGTACACGTCGTACAAGTTTAAAATTTTAATGATGGAAAAGAATATTGTCTTTTAGATACTTTATTCGATCCCTTTCATGTTTTATGCACTCGAATGTCAAAAGTTGATACCTTCGATACTAATAGATTCAATCATGTGAAGAGTTGGCTGACATTTGCTACTGTTCCACTAATGAGGAGTGAAAGTCTTACAGTCTTATGCAAAA